GTAGAAACCTAGAACTGAAAACTTAAATCGGTTAAATGAACGAGGCCTAAGTTGATACCTCGAGCAAACTCATCCTCTGTCAAACTCTTGACTTCAATTTTATTATATGAAAATTATTAGAAATATTAGAAATACAAGTAAAATGAAGGTCACCCAAAAAGGCAAGAAAACCAACTAACAAGTCAAACATAAAACAACACCTAAACCCTAGGAGTTAGTCAACTGTAGGTCAAGACAAGAGAAATGGTGAGGAAAACATTAGGTGATCATCAAGTGAAAACTATCCTTACGTAAGCCAAACCCCACATATTGAACCTCATTAAAGCCTTTCAAATAAAATTTAAAGGGGAAAACTAAGCAAGGAAAAAAGACTTTAGTCAACTTATAATTACATTTGTAGCGAGGGATCTTCGGCATATTTCTAGAGACCAAAGAGCTATAAAAATCAGAGTCGTCCACCGCCATTTAACTTCTCAATTAATTTTTTTACACGACAATTTATTTGTAAATTGATTAATTTTGTCCCCTGTAAATCAAGAACGAATAATAGTTCATGTTAACGAGATACAAGATCACCGTGAGCCATTTTGTCCATTCATCTATTTACCTCCATTTGTAGAATTTATAATTATAGATCAAGACCCAAGCACAAGGAAGAAAATCTCAACATTTCCGAGGAAAAAATGTTATATTGAGTTTGGAAAATATTGGCTTTATTTTCTTTAATGATGAGAACTTTCAGATATTGTTTGGATTGGAAGCTAGTAAATTAGACCATGAACACCCTTAGCGAAAAAAGAAAAAATCATTTTAGTACCATCTGTTATATCGAAATTTGAGTTTAGTACTCTTTATTTTTCAAAATTTTATACCGGTACCTCGACCTTTTAGAAAATATTATTTTAGTATCTAGGAGCCATTTTTTAGAACACGAAAAGATAAAATTGCCCTTATTATAAAATTTATCTATTGAATAGAATTTTGAAGAAAAAAAGATTTTAAAAAAGGATTTTAAATAGATGAATTTTTAAAAAAAAAGATTATGCTCTACAGGTATAATGATTTTTTAAATGTTTTTTTTTCTTTAAAATTCTTGCTAGTAGATGAATTTTTATAATATGAGTAATTTTATCTTTTTTTGTTCCAAAAAAATAGCTTTGAGGTACCCAAAAAAAAGTATTTTTTAAAAGGTCGGAGTACCGGCATAAAAGTTTCGAAAACAAATAATACCAAACTTAAATTTTGATATAACAAATGGTACTAAAATAAAATTTTCTCAAAAGAAAAAGAAAAAAAGACCATGAACACCCCCGCATTCATTTCTTCAATATTGCACCCTAACAGGGAACCAGAAAAGGAAATAATAAATGGTAATAATGTCAATTGTGATTGTTCAGCATCAAGGGGTTCTATGGTGTAGTGGTTAGCACTCTGGACTTTGAATCCAGCGACCTGGGTTCGACTCCCGGTAGGACCTTTTTTCCCTTCTTATTTTTCTTTGACATTTTCACCCTCACAATCTTGAATGCTGGGCTTCCTAGACTGCCTTGTTAAGGCCCGGGTAAAAGCAAGGCCCATTCTCTTCGGCTTTGTTGGATAGGATAATGCTAGAGATATTAATTTTAATTCTAATTTTTTATATTAATTTATGTGACATATGGTCATCCTTTTAAGTATTTGTTTAAAAGATTGTCACGTCAATTAATAATAAATTAATGTATCTAATAATGAATATATGATAACTTTATATTATGTAAGTTAGTATAAAATAGTTGAGATTAGAGTTAAAATTAGAGTTGGTATTCCTAACACTACTCATATTGAGAGGAAAATAAAATAGAACGTAAAGAAAGACATTAAATTTAACTAAGAAAAATAGATAGTAAGCAGATTAATTTTAGGAAATAGTAGAAAATAAGCCAATATGAAAAGCTTAAGAAAGTATATAGGTCAATTTTTAGTTATAGAAATTAATAGGCCATAACTTGTCAAGTTATGGTTCATAGCCAGACAAGTTATGGATAAAAACTGTGAATAACTTGTCAAGTTATGGTTCATAACCAAACAAGTTATGGACGAAAACAGTAATTTGACATATTTATTAACTTATATAAACTATTGGCATATTAATTTTAATTCATCTCAAGTCTTGGTTTCCCTTCTTATTTTTCTTTGACATTTTCACCCTCACAATCTTGAATGCTGGGCTTCCTAGACTGCCTTGTTAAGGCCCGGGTAAAAGCAAGGCCCATTCTCTTCGGCTTTGTTGGATATAATAATGCTAGAGATATTAATTTTAATTCTAATTTTTTATATTAATTTATGTGGCATATGGCCATCCTTTTAGGTATTGTTTAAAAGATTACCACGTCAATTAATAATAAATCAATGTATCTAATAATGAATATATGATAACTCTATGTTACGTAAATTAGTACAAAATAGTTGGTATTCCTAACACTACTCATATTGAATAAGAGGAAAAGAAAATAGAAGGTAAAGAAAGACATTAAATTTAACTAAGAAAAATAGATAGTAAGCAGATTAAATTTTTTTTTTTTAATTCTGTTCGGTATAATGTATATTTGTAGAGATTAAAATTGTGATATTTTGAATGATTGAAAATCCTCAACCAATCCATTTCTTTCTCTCTTGTTTTTTTTTTTTTTTTTTTTTTTTTTTTTTTTTTTTATAAACTTTTTTATTGTAAATACCAAATCCTTCAAGTAATCATCTCACCCCTCTCCATCTTTCATTTTCTCTCTTATCAAACAAGAGGTTATGAATTAGCATATCAAATTCATTTTTTAGTATATTACTATGCTTGATGGGTTTCATGCATGCCCGTCCCTCCTATCCACAAAGAGACCAAATCAAACAAAGAAACGTAAAAGGTTGACCTTAGACTGCGCAAACACTAGTTTGAATTTTAGGTAATATGCCACGATTATGTGAGATTATACGACATAAATATTACAGGGGATAGCCGCAAGGGACAATTCCACTAAACGTTACACCTAATTAGACTTTTGACTTGGAATAATGTTGCCTACCAAATTATTTATCAAATTTTTGATATCATTGTAGCAATTGACTTGTTATAATGTTAATTGGTACACAATTTGGTGCCTACTTCTTTGCAAATTGTATATTGATGGGAGATTAACCTATACTATTAGCATAATACTTTCTCGGCATTTCACCTCTTTGACAGTATTTACCATAAAAAATAGTCATTTCATTTCAGATTAAATCAATAGTACATAAACATCAGAAAATGGGGTAAAATTCATATAATTTATTCGGGAGTTTCTCTAATAGTCCTAATTTTTTACCGTTAAATATGATTAAAATCACATCAGATTAAAAAAAATATACGTAATAAATAAAATTTAAAATATATTTAATAATTAAAAAGTGAGAGACTACCAGTAATATATTTTTAATCCCAATTTTTCCTTGGCAAAATATATAAATCCAATCTCGTTTGCGGGCCCATAATTGAAATGAGACTGTTCTTAATAGCCCAACGGGCCTCATGACCAACCTAATAAGAAACAAAGGAATATTCTCATTCTCTCCTTGGCAGACATTGTCGCGTGAGAGACAGACACGTCAGCAAACATTCTTCACAGCAGGATTCATCCATCGTCCCATGCTTGAGGAATCAGTCGTATCCGACAGCTTATGTAGGATAAGGAACAAAATAAAAATAAAACAAAAGAAAAGAAAAGAAAAGCAATAGATTACACGGTAAGTACCAAGTCGACTACGATTATTTACGGAGTTAAATTTACTGTTTAATTTTTAATGTTCTAATTAATGTTTAATTAATTATAATGAGACACACTAATTAATATATATTTTTTTAAAAGACCAATTAATAGATTTAAATATTAAAATAAGGAAAAATTAGTTAGAAAGATATTTTAATTTTTTTAAAATGATGTAACACAATCTGATTGATTGAACACTATTCTAGACATTAAAATTGAACTTGTGATTTGAATTCGATTATTTACTCCTATTATTTAGTGGTTAAGATTCAACGTTTATTTCACCGATTCGAGTTTAAAATTTGAGTTTTGCTACAGTAAAAAGCTCTTAAAAATAATCACATCTAACTTTTTTACAAGAATAAAAAGCTCTCACATTAAGTCACATCTAAACTCGAATTAAAAACTCAAACCGACAAACTAAACGGGTCAATAATATCTTCACAAAATAATAATAATAATAATAATAATAAAACCATTGATATTTTAATGATTTAAATAATTAATAAAACCATTGATATTTTAATGATTTAAATAATTTTTCAACGCTCTTATCTATAAATAGAAACAATTATATATCGCACATTACAAAATTTAATGTGAACGTTCATAAATAAAACCATTAAAAATTTAACCCCCCAGTTAAAACAATAGTTTCTCCCTGTAGCAAAATAAACCGTTATTGAGTTAAAAATCCTTTTTAAGAACTAGAATTCTCAACAATGTATCACTTCTTTTCCAATGGTCCAAACTCTTAACCTACCCCCAATCCACCATCACGTACATTTCACATGTTGCAATGTAATATTGTACCTTACCCAAAAATAAAAATAAAAAAATCATAAAGTACGTTGATCTGTTGGCAGTTGACAAGTTCTAAACCAGTGAGCGTTGGCCACGTCATCCGGTAGTTGCCCGAATTTGACTTGGCGTGAGGAAGAAAGTACCACTCTACGCCAAAAATACTCGTCAATAACAATTATTAACATATTATACTATAATTATAACAATAATCCATATTTAAGTTAATCTAATTGCTACATTCTAAGGTACATTAGAACAGGATTTAAGAAGAATAATAGGGGAATAATAATATTTTAAGTGGGATATTAGCAAATTGAGAAAGTCAAACTACAATCCCATTCCCACTCTCTTCTTCTTCTCTCTTCCTCTTTTATAAGCGCTGCCTCGCTTTTGACTTTTTTTTTAACTTCAACATTTTTCCATTTTTTAGACAGAGAAAGAGAGAGAAAGAGAGGATGAATGCGGCGCCTCGTCAGCAGCCTCCTCGGGGTTCGGAGTCGGCGGCGGGGGGGGGCCGGGGCGCGGCTGCCGGAGCCGCCGACGGGACGGTGATGCTCAGAATTTACGAGGCCTGGAAAGGCAGCAATGTAACTTTTCTATTTCTTTCATTCAAAATTTTCTTCTTTTGTTCTTTTTGTTCTTTTTTGGGGGTTTTATTTTTCTGGGCTTGCTTTCGTGTGTTTTTGGGGTCGAAGTTTCGTCATTTCTCACCTGGGTTTGCTAAATCTGATGCTTGGTTTGTTGATTGTGTGGAATTATGCGGATCTTTATAATCCCTGCTGCTTAAATTCAAAAGGGTATTTTTTATTTCGGTTTCTGGGATTGAGATTGGAGCCTTTTCTTACGTGGTAGATGCTTTAATTGATGAACTGTTGGGTGTCAAAATGAGTGATTTTGATTATAGTTCTGGGTTATTCAGCTTCTATTTGTTGCTGTAAACCAGTTTGATTTTGCCAAATAGAGTTATAGCTCCAACTATTTTTGGTGGTTTTATGACTGAATTTAGCCTTTTTTTTTTCTGAATGACTGAATTTAGCTTGAATTATTGGTTTGACCAATTTCCTTAAGTGTACCTATCTTGAACTGATTTTTTAGTGGCACTCAATTATTTAGAATGAAATAAATAATAGGCCTCCACATAACGATGACAAACTGTGTAATTTTCTCATATATTAAATCTATATGGACGAATTTTCAAGGGTTACTTTTTCATCGGTGGTTACTATTAAATATAGTAATTTAATGGCTTGGTATGATAAGAATCCATTTTCATTAATTGTTATAAATTTTTTTATCAACTATTCAGTTTATTACACCGTCGAATTAATATTTTACGGCTAAAACAATATATCTATTGATAGGTAAATATTGGAGTAACCATTAAAACTACCCTCTATATATGTATATTTTCTCGTTTTTGCTCATCTGTAATGTTTTGAAAGAAGTCTTTTCTGCTTCTGGAAATTTAAGCTGAACCATTTCTAATCCTTTGAGCCCGTGCATTTGCTTGAAGAAAAGTCAGCTTTTTTAACCAAGAAGTTTGGACTTCAAGAATTGCTGTGATTAAGTTGAGTGGAAAAGAAACTTGCCCTTTTTCTCTTATGGTCCATACTCCATACAGCCGAAGGCTTACTTATGCTGATAATTTTTCACTTATGGAAATGGTTTCCCCCCAAATATGAACATTTTGCAGAATTAGATTTCGTGATTAACACTAAAGGCCTTATTTTTTTTTGGAAGTACTACATATAATTACGCTTACACTCTTCTGATGCTCGCTTACGGGCATCATTGTCGGTTTAATTTTTCAGGTGTTTCTTTGTGGTGGAAGGCTCATATTTGGACCTGATGCAAGATCTATTTTGTTAACTGTATTTCTTATTGCTGCCCCGGTCGCAGTTTTCTGCGTCTTTGTAGCGAGAAAACTGCTTGATGATTTTCCACGTGACTGGGGAATATCCATAATGGTTGCTGCTATTGCTTTGGCAGTATTTGTAAGTTTCTTTTTATTTTTTTCTCGTTAGATTCCAAGTTCCATCCTGATAGTAACATGTGGGAACTTTTTTGGTCTTCTATTAGCATTGTGTGAGAAAAAGCACCGAAAAAATCCTGGAATTGTCCTTAGTTTTTCCAACATTACCTAACAAATTGACAATAATTCGTCATAGCTGAGTAAGTTTTTGTTTTACAGGACTTGATTCTTCTTATATTAACCTCAGGACGAGATCCTGGTATAATACCTCGCAGTGCTCACCCTCCAGAGCCGGAAGACTACGAAGGGAGTACAGAGACAGGGGCTAATCAAACTCCACAGTTGCGATTGCCACGGCATAAGGATGTAAATGTCAATGGTGTAACCGTGAGGATCAAGTACTGTGACACCTGCATGCTTTATAGGCCTCCTCGCAGTTCTCACTGTTCGATATGCAACAACTGCGTGGAGAAATTCGACCATCACTGCCCCTGGGTTGGTCAGTGCATTGGACTGGTAAATGCGCATGACTTGAAATACTAGTATGCTATCTTCAAAGCCAAAATAGGGTCTTTTGCTGAATATTGTTCTGTGGAAACCTTATTAATCTTGCTTCCATTTAAACTCGTAAGCAGATTGGTAGTTTATGGTTGATCTTTTACCATCTGATCTCCATGACAACGTTAACAATGTGCGTCTGAGTCAGAACTTTTCTTTTGATCTCTGTGCAGCGCAATTACCGTTTCTTCTTCATGTTCATCTCCTGTGGTACTCTTCTCTGCTTATATGTACATGGATTCTGCTGGGTCTACATCAAGAGAATCATGAACAGTGAGAATACTACGATCTGGAAAGCGATGATCAAGACTCCTGCCTCCATTGCACTAATAGCTTACACTTTCATCGCATTCTGGTTTGTGGGCGGCCTTACTTTCTTCCATTTGTATCTCATCAGTACAAACCAGGTAAGAAGCACTTTTTTCACTTCACAGAATCCTGAATTTCCAGTTCTTTATGTAGTCATGTTACTTCTTGGAGTTCCTTCTCGTCCACCAAAGTTCTGATTTCATGTTAATGTGGTTTTGCAGTCAACTTATGAGAACTTTAGATATCGTTATGATCGGCGAGCCAATCCGTTCAACAAAGGGGTGTTTGCAAACTTCTTTGAGACATTCTGCAGCAGCATTCCTCAATCCAAGAACGATTTCAGGAAAAAGGTTCCCAAGGACCCTTCAATTCTACCTCGCATAGTTGGTGGTGGTTTTGTAAGTCCCCTAATGGGCAAAGCCATTAGTGACATAGAAATGGGAAGGAAGCCAGCTTGGGACGAAGCTGCAGGGCAGGATGTCGATTTTGAAGACGAACACATCAGCAACGATGATGGTCCAGACAAGGATCAAGGACCGAATGATGCTGATGTTTCACCAGATTTAAGCAGAAACCTTCCAACGGAAAGCGCAGAGAGACGTGATGTATTGTACTCGAGGCGTTCTAGTTGGGGAAGGAGAAGTGGGAGCTTGAATATTTCACCTGAGATTCTTGCTTTGGCTGCTGGAGTTGGAGACTCAAGGCGTGTCACCGACGGAAGGCATGGAAACTTCCCAGCAGAAACCGACCAATCTCAGGCCAGTTCTTAGATGTGTACAGAAAACCAGCGAGAAGACATGAATTGTATGGTAAAAGAGAGACTATTTATAGTGCAAATGATGTAAATCTAAATTTGGCGGTGTTGATTTGACTAATATGCTTAGCGGTTAAAAGCTTTTGAAAACCGGGTTTTAAGGACGAGGCTTTTTGTTGTTTGTAAGACGTGCTCTTGCCATTAGGCAGTTAATTCTTTCGCAAGTAATGGTGTGCCATTATTGGTTAAATCTTCTTTTATACGATCGTTTAATCTCATTATTAATAGAATCTACATTTACATAAATATATACATATATGTACAATGACCTACATGTTTTGATCACAATGAAATTGGACTCATCTACAAGAAGCCACCACTCTCAAAATGAGCATGAAAAATTCTGGAATTTATAGATCTGAGCGCAGGTAAAGTAAAAGAGACATCCCAATATAAATGGTTTCAAGGAAAATAATAAGCTTCAAAATTACAAAAATATGTCAATTGTTTGACTCATCACAGGGGCCCCCAAAAAACAGATCTTCCAAATGAAATTGGGCATATCAAAAAATGAAATTGGGCATATCAAAACCTCCAAGATGTTCATTGCATGTTCTGGAAACGTTTCATAATCAATGCGCTCATATCCAAATAGCGCCGAGCGCAGTTCGAAAGGCAGGATTGTTCACTCGAGCTGAATTTGCTACCCGGAGTACTGGTGATGCACTTGTCCCAGCACACAGTTGTGAGCTTTGCCACCATCTCGTTGATCATGGCTCTTTCCTTTTCTTGCTGCATGGTAAAAGAATTTTGCAAAGCCAAATCAAACAAGGAGCTTAAGATAAGAGTGCACATAGTTTTCGCATCAAATCCAAGGGTTAAGCCGCATCAAGCTTTACTAGACATGAAAAGCAGTAATGTCCAAAGAAAACTTCTAATGCATATTTCAAATACTATGATCGAAATGGAGAAGCAAATAGTGTCAATTATTAGTTTAACAATAAAGGTTATACCTCAAACAATGAAAGTTATATTCTCCACGTTTCCAAATTCCAATATAACATTTAACATTATTCAAAACTAAGCGGCCAGGGAGGGAAATATTTTGCATCTGGCTTGACCATTATAGACTTCTACCATTTGCACAAAACGAATTGCTGGCCCTAAATTGACAACATAAGGAAGAAATCAAGCAACTATGAAGCCAAGGACGAACTTGTAAAAAATACTTATTGGCTATTGCTATGAAATAGACCTGCTTCTACACTCAGGAGTATTCTTCTTGAGGGGAGGAAAAAAAAAAAAAAAAAAAAACCGAAATTCCATTTTCCCAAGCATAATATAATCCTTGACAAGCCAATTCCAAAACAGCCTAAACTTTAGAGCCCAATAGTTCCTTATGAAAATCTGGAAATTATTTGCTTATCAAAAAAAAAAAAAAAAAAAAAAAAAAAAAAAAAAAAAAAAAAAGGAGAAAAATACCTAAAGAACGTTGTCTTGTGGCATGTGCAAACTTATTAATAATATAACATCAAAGCTAAAAAAACAATTTTTTTAGCTTTTTTTAGCAAATTCAGAATCCAATACAGAGAACATCCCTTATAGAAGCAACTAAGTAAGATTCCAAATATTTTTAGGAATTTTCCAAAGGCGTAAAAACAAAAATTGAATTTCTCATTAACATGCGTTACCATATACATATAGGATTTTTTGCAAATCAAAAACTAAGAGAAAAATGGAAATCTCAACATCCATGAAATGGTATAATATTTTTAATCAGTCAAATCCAATTTCTTAAATAGCATTTCCCAAAAACCTAATAATCCAAAAAATAAACAGAATTTCGATGCGTAAAAGGGCGTTCGTCGAATCTGTCCATCTATTGAACCAAAAAATGTTAAAAGACTTTTTTTTTTTTTTGGTTACTGAGGTTTTGAAGGAAACGAAAATGGCGATAGGATTAGAGAACAAAACGAGAACTTACATTGATGAATTGCAGCAATTCTGGGCTGTTGATAGCTGAAGGATCCATGGCGGTTAATTACCAGTAAAACCCTAAAAAAAATAATAATCTTTTTAAGCTTCGGAGACGCTCCTAAAACCCTAACAAGAAAACTGCTCAGAGCCAACATTAACGACACGTAGCTCAAATACGAGGCTGTTGGATGGGCCCAATTCTTCAATTTGGGTCGGGTTTAAATGGGCCAGGCCCAATTGTAGCCTTTGTTTTTGCAAAGTTTTTACATTTGAATTTCATAGGAGTTTCCAATTCCAATCAATTTCCATACACCTTATAATAGCTTTTTTATAATTTTTTTTGAGATACTACCATTTTAGTTTTGTAATTTCACTAAAAATTTTATTTCTTTGATCTGATTTCCATTATGAAATGAAACTTGCATTATTTTTTTCTCTTTTTTTGGTCAGAAAAAAGAAAAATTAAATAGGGCATATATGACAACATGCACAAAGAAGGCTTTTATAAGAAATATTTGTTATAAACTTTGAAGCTTGCTAGTTTAGGTAATTATATATATTTAGTATAGTTGTATTTATGCAAGATTTGATTGCGAACTTCAAATTTATAGATATTGGGATAACTAGAAGAAAATAACTTGTGATCATTAAAGTATTGGAAGCAAAATCATATGTGGGAGAATCTTAAACAAGAGCAGCTTCTTAATATTGACTTAACTTTCTTATGCATTAAGCATATGCCAACTTTTCTATAAGAAAAAAAAAATTTAAAGGCAAATGTTAGACGTGTCAAGCTTTTTTTTTTTTTTTTTTTTTGATATTATCTCACTAGATACCCAAATGCATAGATCACATAATTATTGAATGGTATCCCGATATGGTATTCGTTGCTTCACCTATCACAACCTTAATTTAATTTGGTCCAATAATGCGTGGGATGTCCATTTCAGGACAAAGAAAGTATCAAACAAGAAAAGCTTTATATCTCAAAACACTAACGAATATGTTCTTCTAAATTTGATAAAGATTTTATTCTTTATATAAAAATATTCATATATATATATATTTATAAATGTTTCCCTACCAAGTCATTACCTAGGGGAAAAGGGCTTCTATGATTTAATGTTATAAAGAAAAAGAGGTGTATTAATGAGACACCCATGTGAAAAACCCCAATAAGATAGTGAAAGCTTATACACTTATTAATAAGATAATCGTTAAGTGTCTATTTTTAAGCCGTCAAATCTGCATCAAAAATTATTTATTTTACACATTTTAATTTTTAGTGATTTTAATAAGATCTAACGGTAAAAAATAAACACCACCTATATATAAGGTCCTTCTGTAGAAGGATACTAATAAATAAACATATGAACCTTATTACTGTACTCTGAAACAAAGGCTTGCAATTTGCAGAGACAAAAATGGTAGCTACTTTCTACGAGTGGGAGTTATCTTTGGACCACATTACTGCATGAAAAAAAAAAAGAATCAAAATAGAAAAGCTTCATCTTAGCAATGAAGAAAAGTACCGATCCGATTGTTGACTATACCTTTGTAAAGTAACCTTTGAGCTAACGGTTGATGGGCCTCATTTCAACACCAAACATTGTCGCCATTGCATGAACTTTTATGAATGTTCATTAAAATTTTAGAACAACTCTTCAAGAGAGAAGCTAATAAGAAAGACTACTAGTAATGAAATTTAAAAGCACAAGCCCAAAAAGAGTACAAAGTGCGGCTGGGACCTTTCTGAGTCATCTATCCATAAATATTCATAGAAAGTAATTTGTACTTAAAACTAAATTAGCCAAACCACTAAAGAAAAAGTGAAGAAAAAATTGTGTGTAAAAGCACATCAAAGATTCAGGTTAGCTTTTTTTAATTATATATATATAAATATGTATTTTTTCTTTTTTGTCGTAGGAAACAAACGTGTAGGGGTTAGGGGGTATTATTTTAGACGTTGTTTAAGTTTCTTAAGAAACTTAGCTGAGTCATTAGCATGACATTAGTGTCAAAAGTAACGAGGAAAGAGTCATTTTCTTTCATGTTTTAGTTTAATACATAATGGATTTTTTTTTTGTGAAATAAATATATAATGGATTTTAATAGCCTGCTTGATTTAACAAATAGCTTTACGTCTCGTAGCAATTGTTTGTAGATGCATGCGTATGTATGTATGTATATATATATATGTATGTATATACTTGTTTTGCCATATACTAATTGTTAGGGATTTTGTTAGTTGACAATTTTTTGAAAATGAAGTTGGCAATTTTTTGGAAATGAGTTGTATAAAATTCAAAAGCAAGGTCAAGTTTATGATTGATGTAGAATTAGATTGTGGAGATTTTTATCTGCTAATTGCTCCGAATATGGAACGTTTTAAAGAAAGAAAGCATACTTGGTCAATGAAAGATTTTGGATGATCTGTGGACAACTATGGAGGATTTTGCATCGGATTTAGAGTTGCACACTGATTTGCTCCATTCATGTTGATTGTCATATTGTAATTTGGGGAATGTTGACCTTTGGGGATTGATGGATTCTTGGTATGGAAAGAATCCGTTGGAGGAATGTTGCCTTATTTTGAGGGCAATTTTGGTGGGAGAATAGATGGATCTGTTGACCAATTTGGGGTGCATATAATTGGTATGCAACCATGAACGTGTGTAGAGCTTTTGGAGTGAAATATTCTGCAGAAAAGCCTGTTTTGATGTTCTTTGAGAGAAAATAGAAAAAGGTAGTTCTTCGGGAGGAGGACGTATTGCTATCGAGAGAAAGCTTTCAAAAATGAGTGACGCTCGCTGGATAAGGCCACTGAGAGGATTTTTCACGACGGTGACTAAATCAAGGAGGGAGTCTTTGAGTGTGTAAGACTTATTGGTGATTGTAAATCTTTGATCTTAGTGGATTATTCACTGTTTGGACATGGCCCCGCGAATGTAGGTGTGTGCACCAAACCGCGATACCATTTTTTGGTGTTCTTTAGATTTCTCCTGCATTATTTTTATTCATGCAGTTTCTTTTTACTATTCGTTGTTCAGCTCATAATTTGATCATCAATTACAAGTGTTGTAATACTCTTTGTAACACTTGCGTGAAAATCAGACCTTTCAATTGGTATCAGAGCGGTTGCGGTTCACTAACACTTTACTTGGTGAGATTTTGGGAGTTTGTCTGTTGTGGCAAGAATGGCTTTTTTGAAAGAAGGTGGTTCGGTCTCACGTCCTCTCCTTGATGGTTCCAATTATTCGTATTGAAAAGCTCGTAGAAAGGTGTTCATCAAAGTAATTGATGAGAAGGAGTGGCATGCTGTGTTGATTGGTTGGACGCACCCTCTTACCAAAAATGAGGTTGGAGAAGAAGTCATGAAACCCGAAGAAAAATGGTCTGCTGAAGAAGATCGATTGGCTAATAACAATTCAAGAGCGTTGAATGCCATTTTCAACGGAGTTGATGTCAATCAATTTAAGTTCATTTCAACATGCGAATCCGCCAAGAATGCTTGGGAGATTTTACAAACGGCACATGAGGGTACATCTGTCATGAGACTATCAAAGCTTCAAATTCTAACTACGAGGTTTGAAAACTTACGCATGCTTAAAGATGAAACAATTTATGATTTCAATTCAAAGTTATGTGATATTGCTAATGAGGCTTTTGTACTTGGTGAAAAATTTTTTGAGGCAAAATTGGTAAGGAAGGCTTTAAGGTCGCTACCAGCGAGATTCGCTTACAAGGTTACAGCAATAGAAGAGACAAAGGATGTGGAATCAATAATGCTTGACGAGTTGATGGGCTCTTTACGTACCTTTGAAATGAACCTGAATGAAAACAACAAAGAGAAAGGAATTGCTTTCCAAGCTGAAGTTGAAGAAGTTGATTCCGATGACGAAAAAGACTTGATCGAGTTTATAGCGTGGTTGTTGAAGAATTTCAACAAGGTGATAACGCAGTTCAACAAGAAGAACCACACACCAAACTTTAGAAACTCAAACCATTTCCAGAGGAATAAAGCTGCAGCAAATAACATAGAATCAAAGACAAGAAATAGAGGAATACAATGCCGGGAGTGCGATGGTTATGGCCATATTCAATCTGAGTATGCTAACACTCTCAAGAAGAAGAAGAAATCACTCAATGCTACCTAGATTGATGAAGAATCTGAAATAAGTCATGAGTATGATGACGATCGTGTGAGTAATTTCATTGCCTTCAATGTTTATACTGATCAGGGTGTTTCTGTCGACAGTGTCGCAGACAATGTTACAACACTTCCTGTAACAAATTCCGTGAACAACAAAGAAGATGGAGTTAATTCAAATTCTGATAGTAGCAGTGATGGTGAAGACCTGACTCATGAAGCCATCCAGGAATCTTACCAAACTATGTTCAACAAGTGGGTTAAAGTGTGTGAAATGAATAAGTCTCTACGGGAGCGTGTTGATGAGCTTGTTAAAGAGAAGGATATGCTTAAGAGGGCTGTTATGAACTATGAATTTTAGGTTGTTGAAAATGAGAAAAAGTTGCATGACACAAGAGCAGAACTGGAGCGCACTCAAACGTCATTGAAGATGATGAATTCCAGCATTGCCAAACTGGATCATATTCTCTCTATATGAAAAGCAAGTTGTGATCGTCATGGACTTAGTTACACTAGTGAAAGCTCAACGTCCAAGACCATGTTTGTGAATGAGACATCCGCTCCTGAACCTCAGACTACCCTTAGTAAGAAGGTAATTATCTCACCCCCTCGATGTAGGTTTGTCCTCATATGTCATTATTGTGGTTTATTTGGCCACATAAGACCGAGACGCTACAAGTATTTAAATGCTTTGAAGAGAGGTATGCTTATTAATCCGTTTAATTTTGCATTCTCAAGAAAGACACCTAAAGCAAAGATTAATGTGCAAAATAAATTTTCTAGACGTGTGTAGGTAAGAAAATATGTTTTTGAGGTGTCGTAGGGCTTATATCTCTTTAGAAGCACGTACTAATGATTATGGGTGTACATTTGACAGGTGATACAAGCAAGATTCAGAGAGTGTTACATTCAGGGGGAGTAAGACGGAGCGATGATTCAGGGGGAGTAAGACGGAGAGATGATTCAGGGGGAGCGAGCTTTAAGGATCAATGACCTTGAAAGATGATCTGCAGGAAAGTGTTGCACTAAGTGTTCCATCAAGTGTTGCAACACTTTCTGCGACAACAGCTTCTAGAAGATTTCTATTATTATTATTATTATTATTTTCTTTGATTTATTTTTGTCAAAAAGGGGGAGAATAATGTAATTTTCTAATTTTTCTAGTTTTTGAATTTTTATTAGGATCTTGTGTTAGTTTTTCCAAAAAAAAAAAAAAAAAAAAAAAAAAAAAAAAAGGGGGGGGTTTTTGGGGTTTTTTTCCTCCACCAAAAAAAAAAAAAAAAAAAAAAAAAACTAAAGGGGGAGATTGTTAGGGATTTTGTTAGTTGGCATTTTTTGGAAATGAGTTGTACAAAATTCAAAAAACAGGGCCAACTTCATGATTGATGTAGAACCAGATTTTGTGGCGATTTTAATCTGCTAATTGCTCTGAATATGGAATGTTTTGAAGAATGAAAGCATACTTTGTCAATAAAATACTTGGGATGATCTGTGGACGACTATGGAGGATTTTGCATCACATTTAGAGCTGCATATGTTGTCCTTTGGGGATTGATGGATTCTTGTTATGGAAAGAATCCGTTGGAGGAATGTTACCTTATTTTGAGGGCAATTTTGGTGGGAGAATATATGGATTTGTTAACCAATTTGGGGTGTATATAATTGGTATGCAGCCATGAACATGTGTAGAGCTTTTGGAGTGAAATATTCTACAAAAAAGGCTGTTTTGATGTTCTTTGAGAGAAAATAGAAAAAGGTGGTTCTTCAGGAGGAGGACGTATTACTTTTGGGAGGAAGCTTTCGAAGATGAGTGGCGCTCGTTAGACAATGCCACTAAGAGGATTCTCCACAACAGCGACTACATCAAGGAGGGAGTCTTTGAGTGTGTAAGTCCGATTGGTGATTTTAAATCTTTGATCTTAGTGGACTGTTCACTGTCTGGGTGTGGCCCTGCAGATGTAGGTGTGCGCACCGAATCGTGATACTATTTTTTGGTGTTCTTTAGTTTTCTCCTGCATTATTTGTGTTCCTGTACGTTTCTTTTTACTGTTCGTTGATCCGCTCAGAATTTAATCATTAATTGTAGGTGTTGCTAAAAGTGTTGTAACACTCTTTGTAACACCTGCGTAAAAATCAGACATTTCACTAACTATTATTTGAGCTTATAATTAATATCTTTGATCATTCTTGTATAAAAAAGCCTAAAATTAAATTTCCTCTTCATAAGGATCTATAGAAAAAGTTTAGAATTAGAAAGGAGAGGCTCCCTCCTCCTTTGTAAAGAAATTGTTAGAAGGTTGCCTCCCAATGCATAATATAATCGGGCTATTTTTTTTTTTTTACATCCATATTATAGTAGATAAAATCCCAAAACTTTGTTTTTTTTCTTTTTTTTTTTTCATTTTCCTGAAAGGCCAGAAATCCTAGTTATATAATCACTAGATACCGTTATTAAAGAAAAGAATACTAAACACCAAATCGTGTCGTTTTGTATTTGTTTCTTTTTCTTTTCCTCATAATCATCACTTTTTTATAATTAAGCTAAATACATTGGGTAAAACTATATATATATATATATATATACACACTATGTTTTTGCCCCACCTTGTGGAGAATTGCCTAAGCATGACGTTACTATGACTTTATCTTTACCGTTACCAAGGGTAGGGAAAAAAAAAATTTCACTTCTTTTATTTGATCATTGAGACATCGACACCCCAATATCTCGATAATTTAATTGAGATATCTAGTTAAATTTAATAACAATGGATAGTAATTAGAACATAAAACCTCATTTTAGTCATTTCAATTTAAATAAATCAAAAATTAAAAGATACAATTTCTTGTTGAAGAATAAATTTAAAAAAAAAAAATCTTCATGTCCCAACAAAAGAATTTTATGTTATTTTTTCAAAAAATATGTTGACTAAAAGGGTCAAAATATCATTTGGTCTAGTACTAAGATACTTTCTTATATAACAAGGTACTCCAATGAAATTTCTTAAACACGAAAGTATTAACGAGATGATGTATTCAAACTACAAAACGGTAAATCCACACCTACTTTACTTTAAGATGAAGAGTTCGAACTCCTCCATCCTTAATTTTTTTTTTTTTTTTTAAAAAGCCACGAGGATGAAAGAAAGATACATGATAAGATAATCGTAACATATTGAGTTTTAGATTTGACTAAAAGCCATTTACTAACATTGAAGAGATCTTCTCCAAGGCTCAAATTAACTTCAATAATCCTCACTTATCACACCCTGATGTTAATTAATGTTTTTGCCAATTGTCTTCAATTGCTTGTTTACTTGTCATTCACCTGAGATTTAAATAAGGACAAAAAAAAAATATTAATCAACCCAATACGAAACTTCATTATACACCCAACACATCTTTAATACTGGAGGAGATATAGACACAAACAACCAAAAAAAAAAAGAAAAAAAAAACACACACACACACACACATCTTTATTACCGAGTTAATTAGAAGTATACACCTTAAAAAAAGAAAGGAATAAAGAAGAAGCAATAATAGATATCTTTAACTAAACTTTCATTTTTTTTACGTTAAAGAATATAATGAAACATAAACAATCAATCTAGATATAGAGTAAAAAGTCTTGTCGCATATATACGCTATCTTTTCCCACTCCCTACGATCTTTGTTACAAAATTAATAATACAAATCGACATTGTTATTTTAAAAATCTCTTTCCAAGTCATAACTTGGCTAAAGCCACCTCCTATATATATAGAACAAGTCCATAAATACTAAACATCCATTGCTTGAACTTTCCTTTAAGTTTGACAGAAATATTTTTAGCTTGCTAGCTAGATCACCCTTGCTAAACTTCGACAAATAATATCAACAATATACAAAATCATATCCAAAAAAGGGTCTTTTGTTTTTGTTTTTCCATCTTCTTTTTCCTAGCTCTTGATCAGCAATATGGACAAGTATTTCAATTTTGTAAGGAACAACAATGGAGTGATCAAACTACCTCCTGGCTTCCGGTTCCAGCCAACGGATGAAGAGCTCGTCTTTCAGTATCTAAGACGCAAAATCTTCTCATGCCCTATGCCATCTTCTTCAGATCATCACATCATTCCTGAGATCAATGTGTGCAAGTATGATCCTTGGGATTTGCCCTCAGGTTCGTCACTATAAACTTATAACTTATTTGTTTCGCAGAGAACGGCTGTTTGTTACAGTAATTTTCTCTTATAAAAAATTCGAATTTATATTCAAAGTTTTTGTCCTTCGTAATTACTAAGGACAAAACAATGTATTTTAGTGGGGTTTTTTTTTTTTTACGACATTTTGTCATGTGTTCGGATTTTTGCTTCCTAATTTAGGTGATATTGTGGAACAAGAGAGGTATTATTTTAGCAACAAGGAAGCAAAATATAGGAACGGATCAAATAAAGCAAACAGGAAGACAAATTCAGGTTATTGGAAATCAACTGGGTCAGATAAAAAGATTGTGTCTTCAACAATGAAGCATATTGTAGGGACGAGAAAGACCCTAGTTTTCTACAGAGGAAAGCCTCCTCATGGCTCTAGAACTGATTGGTTCATGCATGAATATAGTCTTAATATTGTCGATGTAGAAGATGATCAGACTAACAGTGGCAATAATTTCCCACAGGTACAACAACAATTATATTCATCCATTATTTATGGATATATAAAAATTTAACTTCATTCCATATCTAGTAACAATATGATCATTGGACATTGGTATATATGTTATGTCTAATTATTTGTTTGTTTTTTTTTTTTTTTTTTGTGTTTGTTTGTCATGCAGATTTCTCAAAGCCAAACAGAAAATAATTGGGTTCTCTGCCGGATATTTTTGAAGGAAAGATCAAGTAGTAGTACTAACAATAACATTAATAACATTGATGAGATCCAGCAGAATTGGAAGGATAATAAAATGAGAAGATCAGTTGGGATTAATGATTGTCAGCCTTATAAACTGTATGATCTTGTTATGGGATGCGAGATTGATACGAGTCCCATGCTGCCGTTGTCGTCGTCTTCTTCTTCAAATTCAAGTTATGTCACTGAGGATCATGAGGTATCTTCAAGTGGGGGCATGCCATGAAGAAAGCAGTGGCTGCTCCGATTATTTTGACATGAACATGTTTCATCAAGAGCCAGTGCCAAATAGCAACCTTTCGTCTTCTTCAGATCAGATATTGTGAATGTCTATGCCCAATATTTATGTCCAAAAATAGTGGAGATTTAAAAAAGTACTTCAGAAATGGAAAATATATATTCCACCGCGAAATTGAAATGCTACTATTTTAATTAGCAAATTAATTGCATCATCGTTGGGATAATGTTCATGGCAAAATATGTCATGTACTAATTAAGCAGCGTGTTTTTTTTTTTTTTTTGTTTTAAGGGAAAAAATTCATTTCAATTAAACAAAATTACATACTCAATAACTAATCACAAGTGAACACCACCTACAATAAAATTTAACTCCGAATATTGACTAGATCTACCAATGAAAATGGATAATATGAGAGCTAGCTAGCACTCATCCCCTACAGGAATCTTTAGCTTTTAAAAGAAAAAGGCAAATTATTATTATTTTTTTTTTAAGATCATATATAGTGGTGGTAAGGGAGAGAAGGTGTAAAAGAAAGGGGCAATGCATTTATACCTCACTTTGCATCTAGAATTTCCTTTTAATAATTTAAAGCACTAGCAGGTCCAAAGTTTTCATCAAATTAAAGTACAATGTGGGCACGTGGGGTTCACTTCACCTCCTTTCTTTAGTTTTGACTGTAAGCGCCAAAAGGGAATTTTATATATGTATACATATATTTATATATATATATATATATATTTATATATTTATATATAGAGAGAGAAAATCAATATTTCAATGCTTAAAGTCAATTCTTCCTTTAGAAAATACATGAACAGAGATATTAATTTAGTTTCTTCATCTTGAATGTAATGAAGAAGGAAATAGTCTTTTATTATTATCATTATCATTTATTATCATTATCATTTATTATCATTATTATTATTATTATCATTATCATTTATTATTATTATTATTATTATTATTATTGTTATTGTTATTATTATTATTATTATTGCTGCTGCTGCTATTGTTTGTTTGGATAGCCAAAAAACCGGATTCTTCTTCAAATGCATATATATGTCCTTTGTACTATATATAGTATATATGTATATTAAGGCTCAAGCCATCCAGAAGCCATAATATTTTGTATTTTTAATTTTTTTTTCGGTCTTTTATGATTCTTCCCCGATGTCTCATCTGAGGAATGTCCAATCTGTTTAGTCCCCAAAACGGCATGATTTATATCTCCTCACCATTGTGAAAGCTGGCCATATTATATTTAGTAACCAAAAATACACTACACACAACATAAGATATTGTTCTCCGCCCAAGGCCTTGCATATGATGACTATTTCAACCACCGAGAAACATGGCCAAAAGTATATTTAGGACACCCAAAAAAAAAAAAACAAAAAATAGTCAATTAGTTTGTTGCGAAAGATACAGACAGGGAAAAAAAAAAAAAAAAAGTCAATTAGTTTGTTGCGAAAGATACAGACAGGGAAAAAAAAAATCAGAAAAAGAGACCATACAATTACAGTTAAACTTTCATGGGGGATTCTTTTTCAAATATGATTTGATCAAGAAGAACCCCATGATATACATTTCTTTTTTTCTGTTTTTCTTAATTTTCCTTACTGCCATTTGAGCCCAATTCTCCTTCAAATAATTCATACTAAATTTCCTGACCCTCTCAATCTTCATTGATCAAGCTTTTTACCGTTTCTTCTCTCCATATAATTCTGATCGTTCTTTAATTATTATTATTTATTATTCAATAATGGGGTGCCAAAATTCAAAGCTCAATCGGGATATACTGGCCATACCTCCAAAGCTCCGCCCTCTCCTATGGCGCAAGGTCGAGGAGCTGCGGCGGAGAAGAAGCGCCGCCACCGCCAATGGCGGGACCCTCTCGAAGAAAGAGCTATTGACGGACGGCGTCCGCGAAGAAAGCGATGCCTTTTCACGTGATCATGAATCTCTGCATGAAAATTATGAAAGAAACGACACGACGTCTTCGCCGGGTCATGAAAGCGTTTCTTCTTCTGCGTCACAACCGAAAACAATAATAACGGAAGAGGACAAGAAGAAGACGTCTGAGGAGGAGATCGTAGAACCGGAGAAAACAGAGATTAATATGGAGAGTGAAAATCAAGAGAGAAGTGGCAAAGATGATAAAGAAGAAAAAGAAGAAGAAGAAGCAAAAGAAGAAAAGGAAGATGATTTAACGGAAGATGAAGGAGATCAAGAAGCAAAAATATGTCCAAGCTCACCAAGTTTTAGAGTATATTTCATCGAGTCGTTGGATCAAGAGGAGGAGGAGAAGAAAGATGATGATGAGCCTGATCATGAGGGTAAGTAATTAAGTAATGTTGGAAAATGATGAATGTCCATTTAGGATAATTTTAATTTAAAAAATTAACCCTTTTTTCACATGTTTTAAAAGTAAATCAATGAATTGTTGAGGAAAAACAAAACCAATGATTTTACAAAACGTTTAGTGCATGGTGAAATTGAATCGAACCATATATTTAGTAATAAATCAATAATTTAACTTTTTAAGTGACTGATGATCAGAGATAATATCTGAAATCACTGATCACTAATTGATTAAAAAGGTCACAAATCAAAATAAATTTGCACACACACATATATATACACATGCACACAAAAGATGTGTGTGTGTGTGTGTTTTTTTTTTTTTTTTGCCATTTATGCATATGCCCTTATAAACAATTTGCATGCAGATAAGGACGACAGTAAGGAGAATGAGAATGACATGCAAAAGGAATGGAACAGAGAGAACAGCGTTGAAAGCGTTGTATTGATAGATACTCATGAGGTAACTAATATATATATATATATATAATATCTGTCATGGATCATGCAAAACAGCCAATTCTTGACCTCCAAACCTCTATTGCCAATTCTTTATAAATTTACTAGTAGGTGCCAATCTAATTAGAATGTTTTAACTATTTTGATATCAGTTACATTCTCTAAAAAATCTATCTATGAAATATACACCAATATATGGTATATATGTAAAAGATATACACATCATCTTAGACATTTGGAGTGTGAACAAATTACTAGTAGTTTCACGCATGACATTTTTAATTGTAAGAGATTTGTGCTTGTTATATGTCGTCCCTGGTTTAGGGGCCTACATAATTTGTTTTAGTTTTATTTTATTTTATTTTTTTGGGTAAGATTTATATCGAAAGATCTAGTTAGCATTTTGCATATACATATTTAGTATATATATATATATACACAAAATAAAATAATTAATTTCAGGACCAGGAGACCAAGATAGTAAAGAAGAAATCAGGGAAAAGCCGAATGAGATTCAGGAGGGCATTGTGTAGAGGAGGACCAGTCGCTGTAAAGCATCTACTAAACGTTAGATCATGTTACCATCCTAGCAGTGACAGAGCCTCTCTTCTTGCCAAGAAATCAGCCCCTTGATTATTAACTGTTTCATTTATAGGTCTGAACAGAAATTCACATTTTTTTTTTTTGCGAGAAAAAACATTGTTGCAAAAATATTTGAACTGTAATTCAAACTCGCAAAACAAACGAGCAAAAATATCTAAGAGATTCCAAATATTATATATACTACTTGTACTGTTTAACTTCCTAGGAACTTTTCTTTTTTTTTGTCACCCTTTATTAATTCTTGGTCAGGAGTACTCAGGACGATCATGACTGATCGTGTAATTTCCTTTGCTAAAATATACAAGTTCACAATCAGTTCAAAAACTGGTATTGAATTTTAGTGATTAGATTATATAAAGTAAATTCCCTAACAGAAGAATGGAACTTTGTCGATATATATCTAATCGGTATCTCACAGCTTTTTTGTTTTTTGAATCAATGCAAAAATTTTAACCAAATTTTAATAGCAAATAACGCAACAATACACTAGCCAATGTGTAATTGTCTAAAATAAATCAAATATACAATTTACAAGTTGACTGCGACATCATTTGATATACAAAATACATTTAATTATTGGTATGCAGTGCAAAATCTGCAGTGTAGAATTCAATTTACCGTCCGTCATTAATTTTGCTTTTCTAATTTTTAATTGTTCATATAATGTCATTTATTGACCTTATTATCGTTTCACGTTGTAATGGTTTGTTTCTCTCCTTTTTCCCTTTCTAATTTCACATTTCCTGTCGTTTAATCGGTCAGTGTTTGTCGTCGTTTGTTTCTTTGGTAATCGTTTAGGGGACGTTTGGTTAGATGATTCAAACTATGATTTGAATCATGATTCATGATTCACTACAGTGTTTTTTCTTACAAAAAATACACGTAAATTAAAAATTTTTCTAATCACATGATTCTAATCCATGAACTCTCTTTATTATTTTTTTACTTGCTGTCATTTACATGGTCAATTGTCGTTTCTAGTTTTTTTGTCTTCGATGAAAAATGGTCGTTTCTAGTTTTGTTACGGCTTTTAAGGTCATTTTCGCGTTTTGTTGTTGCTTTTTGCTGTGTGCTGTTTGTTTACCCACTACCCAATATATATTGCAAAGAGATTGTCGTTTTCGTTCATGTTTTGCACACCATTGTCGTTTTCTTACTTTGTTGTCGTTTATTAGATTCTAGCTGTTTTTGTTTATTTATTTTATTTATCATCGTTTTCTGGAGCATTTAACTCTGTTTTGAAGTTGTCTCCTGCTTAGTGTCTTTTTAGCAAGGAGCAGGTTGGCCTCAGAATGTCGTCCCTAGGACTTGCATTCGGTCCGCAATGTTTTATTTTAGTTTATTTGAGTTTATTTGTTTTATTTTTTCTTTATATTATTCTTTTTTTACTTTGGCTGAAACTTGTTTCTCTATATATGGATTTGTGCATGTGATGATCTCTTTAATCCATCTGGAAGAATAAACCCTTCAATACTTAATTCAGTTGCAAAACGACAATTAAGAGAGAGTGGCTAAGTTTCTTACAAAGGGCAACAGAAAGGCTATCATTTTCTAACATAAAACTATCCGTGCTTTTTTTTTTTTTGGTGAAAAAAAAAGCTTTTAGTACACTAGTTAGTTTGGTGATCAATAGTTAATACCTCAACAAGTCACTACTACAATACCAAACGTTCTAAGAGTAAATAGCAGCAGAAAAAGGGAATAAATCTGATATATATATATATATTTGCATTAAGAAGCATCTCTCAATTAATACTCTTAATCAATCATTACCTACTAAACATAGAAACTAAACATTATATTAAACGGCAACTAACTCCACTTACAACTTAGCTCAGTTTCACATAATCACATTCTTAAAGAGAAAACAAGAAAAAGAAAATGAGAGCCAAACAAACATATACTAACATCAGAACAAACAGTTACCAAGGATACCTAGGCAGAAGGGAAGGCAGAAGAGAGGAAGTCCTCGTCCTCCAAGAAAATCTGCAAATTCTTGGACTTCATTAAGAAAGAAACAGCTTCCTCGTTGAAATCCAGTAGAAAGGCCAACTTGAGCAGCTCAGAGAGTTCATGGATATGGTCACCATTCCCCCACAACACACCCTCAGCAACTACTTCAGAGAAGTATGTAGCACGCTCGATGCGGTTCGCAGGTCCTTTAGACTCATCCATCTTTTGTGTAAAGAGCTTCGAACTCTCTCTTTCCCAACGCACCATCCGACTTGCTCTCACATTCAAAGCTTCCCCGGAAGATAATGACAGATCATAGCTCACATCAATTGGTTCAACCGTCTCAACAACAGTTAGATTGAGAAGACCTTTAACTACCTTGTGCCTCGCTTCGAAATCCATTTTGATCGCGGGATCAGCTAGAAAGCCGAGGATAAGCTTGACCAAACCTTTCTTAATCAAGTCATCTCTTGGAATCACCTGTTGGCGCATACCATTTGAGATGGACACTTGTTTCTTTTGCACTGATTCTGAGATGGTGCGAACGCCTATTTTCTGAAATACCTCGAGCAGGTTCGTGCGGGAGAGATTAGGCAAGCTTGGCTGAGGATACCAGACAAAAATGGGGCGAGAGGAAGACTGTTGAAAGAGTTCCTTCAGTTGAAGGTCATCAGCAATGAAAACATCCTGCTTGTTCAACAATACAATTCCATCAGAGCCCGAGTTGGCAGGAACTTTCACCAGCTCATCAAGAAGAGTTCTTTCAGTTTTTGCACTGAAGTGTTTGGTAATGTATTCCCAGAACTTGCGGCACTCATCATGTGATAGTACGTGCCCTGTACTCTCCCAAGACTTCCAAAGGCTGCAATAATCGTCCGTGGAAGGACTGTGTTTGACACTGAAAGCATCAGAGAAGAAGCAAAGATTTTGCTTGTAGAATTTGTCCAGAATAGTCAGCTGCAAACTGAATAGTCCACTCTTGTCAGATACAACACAATCTTCTGGACTAACCCATTTACCTTTATGATTTCCATTCGGGATCCAGATCCTTCGTTCCATCTCAGTTTTAGGCTCCCAATTGAATTTACTTAGGTAATTATATATCCTTACTATTGTTGCAAACTCAGAATGAAAATCAAGTTGCCTGGCAATTGATGGACATCCTTTCTCTTCATCAACAGTCACCCCAATTTTCGTTAGCACTTCTCTGTAAGTTGAAAGTTTAGAGCCATAAAACTCTTCATCAATAAACGTTCCATCAGTCTTCTCCAAACCCCATATCGAATCGAACAACAAGCACTCTTTAGGACTCCTGTATCCACAATATGTCTTCACCCATGCTTGAGAAAGCTTTTTGTTGAAATCCTCAGGAAAGGTGTAAGTTTTGTCTTCCAATAAGATTCGGATGCATTCCATCAACGAAAGTGCATTTTCACGAGTTATGCGGCTAACATCATGAAAATAAAGGCTGCTAGCTACAAACTTGACGCCGTCCTTGAAATCGACCACAACTCCCATACTCTTCAGCTCCTTCTTGTACTCAAGGATGCCCTCGCCATAGTAGTTGTCACTGTCGTCGATGAAAGGGAGAAGAGTAATCGGAGAGATGGATTTCCAATCAGGACCAAAGAGAATGCAATCCTTTGGAGACCTATAATCACAAAGTCGAGTTCGCAGCCACTTTACATCACGGATGCAGCTTTTGACATCTTCAGGGAATTTATGAGCAGCTCTCCTTAGCACTCTGTAAGATGAGAGAAAAGCTATGACATTCTCTTTAGAAATGGAGTTGTTTGATGCACGTTCCCTAAAAAAACGAGCAAATCCCTTAGCCGCTTCCTCGAAATCCACCATTACTCCCAGAAGTTTCAACTCGTTTTTGTAAGTGACGATGCGCTTATCATAGAAAGCGGTATCCACAAATGGGATCCCATTGAAAACCTGAAGAAGGCAAACCCATTCAGGGTCACACAAGAAACATTCAGAGGGTGACTTGAAACCACTATTTGTCCTCAAACATTTTGTACCCTTCAGCGCTGTAACAATTTTTTCCGATGGTTTTCGACGCATGCATTGTAGTACCAAAAGAAGAGCATCGGCCGGAAGAGATGACAAGCTTGAAGATGGCTTCAGGTAGTCAACAACGAGCTCGTGACTTCCACTTATTCCACTGAAACCAACTACCACGCCTAGCAACTGAAGTTCTTCTTCGAAGTCACGGATTTCCCTGCCATAGTATTCTTCATCAATGAATGGAATCTTACTGATTTTTTCTGCAGTTCTCCATTTCTCATCAAACAACACGGATTCATCCGGAGACCTGTCACCCCATGAGGTCCTTAGCCATTTCCCTTGCTTGATACTATCGATAAATTCCTTCGGCGGAAGACAGTTGGTCCTCAAAAATCTGATGAATTTCAATATGGAAAATACATTCTCTCTGGTTAATGAGCCAGAAGCCGCAAGGGACATGAGACGATCGCCGATGAATTTGCAAGCTTCCGCGTATTCGGACATTACTCCAACTGATTTTAGCTCCTCCATGTACTTCCTTATCCCATGGCCATAAAAACGCTCGTCAACTAATGGAATATCTGCAAGGTCTGACCCATTCTGCAGAAGGTTCCCCCAGGAGTGGGTCGAGCTGTGCAGGAATGACTGAGAAGGAGGTCTAGGAACTCTATAGCCGGTCAGAGTAACCGTCAACCAGCTTCCTTCCTTAATACTTGTCATGAACTTGTTTGGGGCCCGGATGTTATTTGATCGAATGTGCCGAATCCATTCCAAAAGCAAGATTGCGTTATGCTTGGTAAGTTGTGAGGAAACAGCAGGGATCCTAGAGTTGGGAGGATTTATATAAGGAACATCAAAAGCCTTAGCATGACTTGTAAGGAAACTTAAGAGCTCCTTTTGTGGGGTAACTAATTTATCGGCAACACGGAATGGATTCATGTAGTCTTCACCTAACACGACATAGCTTTCTTCTTTCCACAGATTAGAAACAAGCAATCCTGCCCATTTGCTTCCATTGGCGGGGACGAGAACGCCATTTCTATGAGTGATGACATGTCCATAACTGTCCACGAGTGGCATGATGCCACACAAGTAATCAACTTGCCTCTCCGAGAGAAATTTCTTTTTGGAAAGCGAGTGATATAAAAAGTGGACATAGGAAACAACGAGCCTCCGCTGGTTCTGAAAAGAATTGCAAAGGTGAAGTGCATAATCATAGACGTCAACCACACCAACCTTCACTTGCTCTTGAAGCCATTTCAACAGCGTCCCCTCTTTCGGACATGACCGTATGGCACTCTGTGTGATTTTCGGCACAAAAACGCATGAGGTCACGGACCCGAATTCCTTGTTCCACCCAATCAGCCACGAGCTTTGATGAGGATGGCGAGATATGTAAACCACACTCTCAGCATAATATATGCTGAATAAAGAGAGATTCCCGTTACGATCCTCATATTTGATAAGTGGAATATGTTTCATTCTGGTGCCGTAAAATTTGGACCCCCAATTCTCAGCTACAAACAATAAAAGCTCCAAATAAACTTCTTCAGAGACATCCTCCACAAGCATAGAACCCTGGATACACTTGGCATACCATTCATCATCTACAGGCTGGACTTCCAGGAAATTGAGTATGCGATCAAACATTTCTCTGTCCAAAGCCGAACTTAATATGTATTTCCCATGGTCAGACAGACTAGCCAAGCTCACCCCTTGTTTTTGCGCCTTTTCTAAAATACTCCAGAAATCAGGCATTAGCCTTCCCACTTCACGGGGTTTGTGGAAGAACTTCTGCTCCACCAGCTTCTCACTCGGAATAATTTCTTCTTCGAGCAGCTTCGCTTTAATGGACTCCCTCACAACATTGAGCTCTTTATAATTAGAGGGGTCGACAGGTAGGAGCATGAATACATCAGGCAAAATCCAATCTGGCGCATTTTTCACTTGCGACATAAACGCGTTTACAAAGGCAACTGGCACGCTTTCAATGATTCCCTGGTTCCACTTGTTGTCGAGGAGAATGGTCTCCCTTGAGGATGCTAGCAGAAAATCTGCCTGAATTATGAATGGGAAGTTTGTTACCATCTCTGTAGGAAGAAATGCATAAACCCCTGGTGAGCTTGTCCGTCTTTGAAGCAACTCCACATTTGGAAATGCCAGGGTGATCACCAACTCCTCAACTTCCATTCTCCTTTCCACTCGGCACTCATTCCGAACAGGAAACTTCTGCTTCCACATGTAATAGCGGCACTCTTCATCGGATCCATTTTCTTTCGAGGATAGATGGAGAGTAAAAGATTCAGCATCAATATTCTTCCTCTGCACCAAATCAGTCTCTTTCGTTATTGCTATCGCATTTACAGTATTCAGCCTTGGGTCCTCATTATCCTCCTTAACCGAAAGTCGCTTGATCTTGGACAGAAACAAGAGGACTTCAGGGTGAATGCTGGATAGCTGCTGCTTCACTGGCTTCACCTTGTCGGGCTTCAGAGGCAGGATCAGTACAGTTGTTGGAAGGGCAGCACCAGAACCATAAATCTGGTTGATTTCAGATAGCGTTGGATTCGCATCAACCCATTCAGGAACAATGTAGCCAACATTGCAGTGCTCGCAAGGCCCTTCATTGAACCTGATCTGATATCCATTGGAGAATATGTAAGGGCGAGCAGTGATCAAGAATACACTTTTGAACCCAATTCCTGCAAACAGGCCAGAACTTAAGATAGTAAAATACTAACAGATGTAGAAAAGAATATATTCAACAGTTTAGTATGCCAGAACACATGGTAAAACGTAAAATGCCGTTCTTGCCTCTTCAAATTTATATGCTGTTTTTTTACTTCATTATTTATCTATTTATTTATATTTTGCATGATTGAAACCATGGTGCAAAAAGGGTTTATGAATTTCGCAAAGAGAAATTAACATAAATTCGTTACATTGAAAAATTCGTAGGCAACTCTTTTCTCTTATATACTAATTTGTTAGCCTGGACGAAACAGATTCAGCTTCTGAATTATACTGTAGTGCATGAACTTTCTAGGCCTCATCAAGCATCTATTTTTATGGATGCATCAGCCATTTGCGATGTGAAATTAAAACATCCATTACAACGGAAAATCATTACAAGTCTTTTAACCGTCCATAAATTTATCAAACAAAAAGTCATCTAAATATGTATAAACAGCAAGTCAAGATAGCTCTTTTAGTACTTCAATTATATGGAGAGAGAGAGAGAGAGAGAGAGAGTAGCTAAAACAAGTACCAAAAACGAGCCATCGCTGTACGTGCAAAGAGTACACGATACATATGATATATGTACAGCATTAGTGTGCGGTGTGTGTGGAAACAACAAAATAAAACAGCTAGAATTTCAGAAACGACAGTGACGAAATAAACGACAACAAAGTGAGAAACAACAAGGACTACCTAGTATCAACGAGTAAACAATCAAAGAAACAAACGACGGCAACGTGAAAAGGACTACCTACCTCAAAACACCTTAAAAACGACAATAAGCTCAATAATTAACATATCTTCTTACTGTAGATAAATTAAACTAGACATAGCCTATTATAAAGGGGTATCTTGCAAATTATCCCGAAACTTTACTCTCACTCCAATTTGATCCGGATTTCTTAAAATATTCCACTTTTGATTCCTAGTGGCTAGTCTATTATTTTGTCCCAGTTTCACTCACTCCATTCTTGAATATTTGACGGTATCAATAAAAAGTCAGAAACCGTAATCGGAAACATCTAACCTTAAAAAGGACTATTTGTGAAAATTTACTTTTATTTTTGTATTCTTTTAATCTTTAATTTTTTTTTTCCAATTTGGAGCTCTAATTTTTCAGCTCTTATCAAATATACAAAACTCAGCCAATGGAAAGATCCAAATTTAAACAAAGTAATAGGCCAAGGATCAAAGTGGAACATTTTAAAGTTAAAGACCAAAATAAAATTCAGAGTAAAGCTCAGAACTATCGTGGGATCAACCCAATCATAACATAACATGCATATTCATAGACGTGCACAGACAGCTCCTTAAACGACAACTAACCGACTAAACAACAGCAAACAAGAAACCGTAAGAACGACAACAAAGAAACAAACGAAATAGCCACACACACCTAAAGGAACATTCGAACGACATTAAAAATAGAAACTTTAACCGATTAGATGACGGCAAATAAGAAACAATAAAAGTGTTAACAACACAAAAACGACAATCTACCCTACAAACAATAAAGACGACAACAAGCCTTCAATCACATGCCCAGATAAAAACCGACCTCCAAAAGGAAATATATAGGTGTGTCCTGGGTCCGTCCTTCACATTGGCCGATGGAAACGATATGCATTTTAGGCCGTTCAGATTGAATTGAAGGGATGAGATGAAATGATGGGCAAAAAAAAAGTTCCAAACTAGTATCAGATGTCCAACCGGTTACTCCTTCCTTTAAAGAATATTTTATTTTGTAAAAAGCAGACACTTGTTCACTGAGGCTGTCTTTTCTCTGACACAAACTACGGCAGCGAGATCAATTTGCATTTCAATTAGCAATTGGAATAGAACACGTAAGGCCGTATTAAAACACAACTAGGGGAAAGCGCCACGTCGTTTAAAAAAAAAAAAAAAAACATAGATCTCATATATTTCTTCGTAAAATAATGTGGTCAGAAAATATATATAACCGGTTTAATTTATTAATTTGAGTTAAAATATAATTTTATATGAGAATTTTTTATTGTAATAAAAAAATTAAATGTGATTATTTTTAAGATTTTTTTATTGTAATAAAATTTAATTTTTAGTTGAAAGATTTAAATCATGTGATTTGAATTATTTTTTATTTACGTGAATTTTTTGTGAGAAAAAATACTGTACCGAACCATGAATCATGATTCGAATCAGAAAATGAATCTTTCAACTAAATAAACCTGTACTTAAATTAAAAAATATTAAGATCTTGTTCATTTCACCGATTCAAGTTTAAAATTTTAATTTTATTGTAATAAAAAATTCTTAAAAATAATTAAATTAAACTTTTTTATTAAAAAAAAACGAGCTTAACAAACTAAAAAGAAACACGATCGAACTCCAGAAACAAAAACAAAAACAAAATAAAATTCATTTATAGTAAACAGACTTATATTAAGAAATACAGAAACTAAAAACAATTGAACTGAAGCTTAGAAAGAGAGACGAGAAAAAGATAACACAAGACAAGTTAATTTTAACTAGAACTTCATCCAGAAATTATGAGAAAGAAACGACGATCGAACTCCAGAAACAAAAACAAAATAAAATCCGTTTATAGTAAACAGACTAATATTAATAAATACAGAAACTAAAAAGAAACGACGATCGAACTCCAGAAACAAAAACAAAATAAAATCCATTTATAGTAAACAGACTAATATTAATAAATACAGAAACTAAAAAGAAACGACGATCGAACTCCAGAAACAAAAACAAAATAAAATCCATTTATAGTAAACAGACTAATATTAATAAATACAGAAACTAAAAAGAAACGACGATCGAACTCTAGAAACAAAAACAAAATAAAATCCATTTATAATAAACAGACTAATATTAAGAAATACAGAAACTAAAAACGATCGAACTGAAGCTTAGAAAGAGAGACATGAAAAAGATAACACACGACAAGTTAATTTTAAGTACCTTTCTCGCCAATATAACCGCGTTTCCTGTTGCCTTTCTTGGTGGAGCGTCCAACGCTACAAATTGAGTCGATATTCTTCGGAGAAAATCCTCTTTCGTTGTTGAATATCAGCAACGTCGCCGGAGCTCCGGTCGCCGTTATGTCCTTCGACGTTATCACGAACTCCAATGACGGATCCACTCCTTCCTTGTACTCATTATCTTCAGCATTCTGCCATAAAAAAATAACGATTTTAAATTGAACAAGAAAACGATCATGAAGAAGAATTTTACTTTATTGACGAATTCTAAGAAAGAAAAGATCATACAGCAAGAGAAAATTAACACAAAGCGTCAAGAAGTTGAGGCTTTTTTCACATTTCCACCGATCAAAGTTCAAACAAGCGATCACGATTCACGAAGCAGATATCATCGTGGAATAAGCAGAAAATCAACAAATACACCGAATTTAATCACATCGCGAAGCAGAAACATACGAATTTCCATTTCGTCTCGTGAAAAATCGCGATTTTTTTAAGGTTATTGTGTTTTTACCTGGATGAGCTCCATGAGAAAGTGTACGTCCTTAGCGTAGAGTTCGGCGGAGAGGTGCTTGACGGCCTGGTGGAGATCCTCGGTGAGAGGATTGAGTTCGCCTCCGATGGAGAACTTGGTTCTCCGAATCTCTTCTACGTGCTCTCTCGGCGTCGCCATTGCCGTACACGAGTTCCCAAATTCAAGGTCGATCGTTTCAGAGAGATAAGAAGCAGAGAAAAGCAGAGTGTGTAAAATAATATATCAGTACGACTACGAGTGAACTTATATATATTAGAATGAGCTAAGAATGAGCGTGGATTTAGAGAGTTTTTAGGGTGGAGGAAACTATTTTATAATGACATCTACATTGGAAGTTTTTTATTCTGCGTATATGTTAAAGGATTTACTTATATTTTTTTACTACGGTATTTTTTAATCTTTTGCAAAAAAAAAAAAAAATTCTCTTTTTTATGCTTCCATATAATTGTCATTTCTTCTCCTTTTTTTATTAATTATAATTAATAGATTTTTAATATGAACGCCTCCTCATGATAAATTAGTTCTCAACTTTTTTCTCGGTAATTTACCTCTTAAATTTTAAAATTTATTATGAAGTTAGTTAAATTAAAAATGAAGTTAAAATTTTAAACGGTTTTTTTTATGTGTTTATTGAGAGTCATTTTACATTGAATTGAGCTCTTTATACACATTATGAATGATTTTTTTTTTAATTTGATGTTTAGTTCACATATTCAGAATCATTTTTAATTTACGTGTATTTTTTATAAGGAAAAATCCTAAATTTTTCTTTTAAAACGGTTAATTCCTAATTTTAAAAAATTTCACTCATGACATGCCTATATAAGAATAACCCTCACTTGAGTGGAATAAATTGAATAAAATTTTAATTTTGTTTAATTTAATTAATATTGTAATGAATTTTAACATTTAAACGGTAACTTGTTAAGAAACATTGAGGGATTAATTTACTAAACTCAAAGTTAAAAAGTGTCAAAAAAAAAAAAACAAAACAAAACAAAACCAAAACTTCTCGCAGAAGGAGGAGGGGAAAAAAACTCTAAAAAAAAAAAAAAAAAAAAAAGAGAAAGAAAAAGAAAAAGAGCAAACCTTCTTGTGGAAGGAAGGGAAGAGAGAGAGTGGGTGAAGGAACTAGGAAGTTGCATTGTACGGAAAAAGCAATAATTTTTCATGCACTTTGATGTTTGATTCGACCGCTGAATCGTCCTTTCTCATATTATTCGGGCTCGTTTTTAGAACTTTTTCAACGTTTTCTCACTTTTTCGAGAAAAGAAGTAATTACATCAAATGTGATTATTAAAGTAATAATTTTAAAAATATTAATTGTTATATAATATTATAAAAATGTCGATTAAGGTATCTATGTTATCGGATATGTTTTTATGAGTTTTTTTAGGGTATGTTTTATGTATGATTAATTTTTGTGTAATATAATTTGTTTGTTTTTTCTCATCTCTACATATTTACTTTCTTTTTTAGCTCTAATTAATTTTCTGTAATTAATTATTTGTTTTTTTTATTATGGTATTTGAATTTATGTATTTTATTTATTTTTTTAAGATTATAGAATCAATACTTTTTTATTTTTTTGGATTTTTTGTTCATTTTGTGTGCGTTTGGAATTGGTTCCAAAATGATTTTGTTTTCTCTATGAAAATAGAAATGAAAACGTTTTCGTTTTCATTTTCATTTTGGAATTATTTCTGAAATGCGTTTGGTAGTTTTATTCAGAGATTGATTAAAAACTGAAACTGCGTTTGGTGATTTAATTTTTTAAAACATGTAATAATATTTAAAATAATAATATATTAAATAAATAAGGGCGGCGGCGGCGGGGGAGGGGGGCAGTCGGACAAGAGTGGGGGGTGGCGGTGCAGTCGCGCAAGAATGGGGGTTGGGGGGCGGCGCAGTCGTACGGAAAGAAGAGTTGCTTAGCGAGCAAGACGTGCTCCTTTGTCTGCAACATGGAGATGTGCTCCTTCATCTCCCGCATCTCTCTCTCTCCCCGCCCCTTCTTCTCTGTCCGTAAATCAGATGCAGCCACGATTAGTGACAGCGACGACTTCCGACAACTGACGATAGCCACCGAGCGAGGGAATCTCTGGCGACGTCTCTCTCCACCTTCGCTGGAGAAGATGACCGTTCACAAACCAGATCACGATGTCGGAGTGGGGGAAGGGGGGTGTAGTCGGGGGTGGTGGGCAATGGAGAAGAGAGAGAAAAAAATAAAAAAAAATGAAATCCGTTTTCAGAAAACGAAAACGAGAAAATAAAAACAGCTTTTTTCGTTTTCAATTTTTCAGAAAAGACAAAACCGTTTTTGTTTTTGTTTTTTAAAAATTTTTACACCAAACGCATTTTATGTTTCCGTTTTCATTTTTTAGTCTCGAAAAATGTAAAAAATGGAAATGAAAACGGAAACAAACGGGGCCTTTATTTTTCATTTTTCTTGATAATTTCGTTTTCATTATTATAATCAAATTACTAACTCTAGTATTCTTACATGTTTATTATTTGAGGTTTTTTACGAGCTTTTTAAATTCAATGTATTACATAATGTTATAATCATTATATTAATGCAATTCATGTTATAATTTGTCTAGTCATCATAAATTTTATATTCATTTTTTTATAATTTTAAAATCATTACAATAATAATACAATCTTTTTATATGTTTATGAATACGTGTATATTGATTGTTTGAGACTTCTTTCTTTATATATTATAAGTGAGACTCCATTTAAATAACCCAAAAGAAAAAGGAAGGGCCCGCCCAAGAGACTTTGGGAATATTGGTTTGAATGTAAGAAGACTAGTGACTAGTGGTGAGTCTTCCTAGTTTGTACCCATTTTTCTTCCACGTGGCACCAGTTGATAGGCTGTTTTTCATAAGCATTGATTGCATATTTTGCATTATTGAATCTTACCGTTATTGCGACTTTTAACTTCATTAAAAAAAATAAATTTTATTTGAAATTTCTATAATATAAAAATTCGCCGATGTTGAATTTCCATCAAATTTCTTTAGATTTTGATTTGATTAATTGGTCTAAGCCAGTAGTGGATTTTAGTATCTTAAAGCCCGTTTAGATACTTAGGGGATGTTTGGTACCTAGATTCGTTCTCTGATTCGAATCATGATTCGTGATTCGTTACAGTATTTTCTCTCATAAAAAATACACGTAAATCGAAAATGATTCTAATCACATGGTTCTAATTCATGAACTAAACGTCTCCTTAGATTATGATTTGAGTTTATTACCCGGAATTTTGTGAAATATGAAATTTTAAAATTCAAACTATTTATGAGATAAAAAATATTGTAATAGAGTCATAGTTTAAATTTGAGTATAACTATTAAACAACCCACTATTCTCAGCAAAAAAATATTTATAGTATCTTATAATAGATTGCTCTTATACTATAATTCGTACTATAATTTGAATTATGATTCATAATTCGTTATAATATTTTTTTTATAAAAAATACACGTAAATTAAAAATCATTCTGATTCTGAATTTATTAACTAAATATCCACTAAATTATTTGTCATACTCACAAAAATGTGAGTCTCCTAGTCAGCATTCGTCTTTTTATCTTTCCTTCTTTTTCTTTTTGGTCGTAAAAAGGCATTAGGCATGTATTAAGAAAGGAACATAACAGAGAAAAAGCCATAGCCTTTAGTAGAAGAGTAAATTAATGTGAAGTGATAACTCTCACTCACTTTTCCTACACATTACTTCACACCCAAGAAATAGAACAGTGAGTGCAAGAAAACCAATGAGAAATGGTTTTCTTTTGCGTTGAAGTACCTGAATTCTCTTCTATGTAGAAACAGTTCTTGTGTCAAAAATTGTATCAAATTTCTCTAAACTAAAAAAAAAAAATGTGGCAAAGTTAGTCTCTCTATATAAATATATGGATAAAAATATTAAACAGAAATAGTAGAAAATAAGATAATATGAAAAGCTTAAGAAAGTATATATGCCAATTTTTAGTTATAGAAATTAATAGGCCATAATTTGTCAAGTTATGATTCATAACCAGATAAGTTATGGATAAATTTGTTAAGTTATGGTTCATAGCCAGACAAGTTATGGACAAAACTCGTGATTTATGGACAATAACTTGTCAAGTTATGGTTCATAACCAGACAAATTATGGACGAAAACAGTAATTTGACCTATTTATTAACTTATATAAACTATTGGCCTATTAATTTTAATTCATCTCAAGTCTTGGCCTATTTTTCTCTTTCTCCTAATATTAAATTATATCAAATTTAGGTCTTAAATAAATATGTTAAAAGTTAGTCACTCGGTTAGATAAATAAATGGAAAACGTTAATTTAGATCGTTTTTAAACAGTTTTTGTTTGGTTTCTAACAATATATATATATATATATATATATATATGAAATGTCCACTGTTTGTTTGACTAATAAGGTGGGTGAATTTGAGCTGTCTGACTATATTTCAAGGATCAAAAACTAATAAGGGCAGGCTATGAAATTTTAAAATAGCTTAGACCTGTAAGCTATCAGTAATAAATAAGGTTTGGTGAATAGGCTTCGGACATTAACAGCCAGTTTAGTTTACTGATTTAAATTTTTAATTTGAGTTAAGATGTGACTTTATGTGAGAGCTTTTTACTGTAACAAAAAAGTTAAATATGATTATTTCTGAAAATTTTTTACTGTAACAAAACTTAAATCGGTGAAATGAACGGGGGGCTAAGGGTTCAGAATCATAATTTATGATTTTGATTTTTAAAATTTTTATTTTTTATGAGAAAAAATACTGTGGCGAACTAAGAATTATAATCCTAAATCAGGCCAGAACTCTCCAAACAAACGGAACATGAATATATTCAAAAGGTCGGGAGTCCATTTTAAACAATTATGTTTTTGCCAATGTTACTCTGATTAGAACAGTTTGGATGTAAGTTCTTGTCTAACAATATGACTCCAACGGTTTATGTGATTTATATCATTACGTGATCGGTGTTGTAATGCTGCACTTGTTTTCGAACTCTCTTATTTATTTATTTATTTATTTATTTTTGTGTTCTTGAAACCTTCAATGCAACAGATTACACATCTACTAATAAAGAACATATTTGTCATGGATTATTCTCCTGTTATGTAAAATTATTTGACAACGAACATTACCACTTCTCATTGCTACATCCTGTGATTTTTTTTTTCTTCAATGCATGAAACCAAACGGCTTAGGCGAATCTTTAATGTTACTTTATTGATATAAGGTTTTACAATATCTACTTACAACCATTCTCATATTTTACGACAACCTTAAAAATTTGGTTTTACAGACCGTCATACATTAAAGCACCAATTTTCTACATACTTATTACTTTATTCGCGAAACCTTAAAAATTTTGATTTACCCATTTCAACAATCTTACCACGTTCTAAACTTGTTACTACAAATAACTTACAATGGGTTCGCAAATTTCTTGAAAAACTTAGGGCCTGTTCGGTGAGACAGTTTTTGAGTGAAAAATTCAAATAAAGGTGAGTTACAATTTTATTCGAGTTCATGTTCTTTTAAGTTCGAACTCGAGTTTGGAACTAAAACTCGAGTTCAAGTTTTCCCTTCAACTTGAGTTCAGAAACTCAAACTCAAGTTAATGAACAGTATTTTTTCTATTCTTAAAAATGCTATAATTTTTTCGTTTTAATTCTGATTGAGATGATTTTTTTTCTATGCATTGACAACGAAAATACGAATAAAACTAGACCCATATACCATATTAAAATTTTTCATCAGCATTGAGTTTTTATTAAAATACTATCTAAAAATAAATTCGAGTTTTGACTTACTTAAACACAAACTCAAAAAAAATTCTTATCTCAAACCATAACTCAAATGTACACAACCAAACACAAACTTAAGTTACAACTTCAACTCAAGTTATAACTCAAACTCAACTCAAAATCTACACTCAAGTTACCTAACTCAAAAACATCAAAAGAGCAAGCCCTTAGGACTTGTTCTTTTGAGTGAAAAAGTCAAAAAAAAAAAAATACAACTCGAATTACAACTTTATTCGAGTTTATGTTCTTTTAAGTTTGAACTCGAGTTCAAACTCGAGTTTGGGACTAAAACTCGAGTTCAAGTTTTCCCTTCAACTCGAGTTTAGAAACTCAAACTCAAATTAATGAACAGTGTTTTTTATATTCTTAAAAATACTATAACTTTTTCGTTTTAATTCTGATTGAGATGATTTTTTTTCTATGCGTTGACAACGAAAAGACGAATAAAACCCCACCTATATACCCTATTAAAATTTTTCATCAGTATTGAGTTTTTATTAAAATACTATCTAAATACAAATTCAAGTTTTGACTCACTTAAATACAAACTCAAAAATATTCTTATCTCAAACCATAACTCAAATGTACACAACTAAACACAAACTAAAGTTATAATTTCAACTCAAATTATAACTTAAATTTAATTCAAAAATTATATTCAAGTTAAACTTTAAAAGAACAAACCTTACATTGTCGTTTTCTTGTTCCATTATTTACTTTATTCTTTCTACGTGCTTTGCCATTGATTTCAAGAAGTGCTACGTATGTCTCTTAAAACTACTACATACTTCTAAGTAATTGGTCACATTAACTGCCATATATATTACATCTATATTTCCGTCACATTTTTTTTATTTTGCTAACATATAATTTATTTCTCCATTACACCGTATTTACATATATACCCTTCAATTTGTAAAAAAATACCTAACAGACGAAAGCTATGGCTTGCAGCCTGTGTTCTTTTGCTCCAGCCGGATCATTCATGTTCTTCCATTTACATCTAATGGTTCAAATTCACTTGCCGATCAGGCAAACAGTGCCTGCTGGACTAAAGACTCAAAGCTAGTTCAGTTCGTTAATTTGAGTTTTTAATTCGAATTAAGATGTGATTTTATGTTATAATTTTTTACTATAACAAAACTCAAATTTTAAATTTAAATCGGTGAAATAAACGAAACCTAAACCTATATATATATATATATTTATTTATTTATTGAAGAGAAAAAACATTTGGTAATCTTACTTTTGGTTTATGTTCTTTCTTTTAATTATTCCCAATTTTTTGTCTAAAGTACTTATTGTTTTCTAAAACCTTTTTAAGCTAATTTTATCAAAGCCCTCATTTATTTTATAGATTTAAATTACAGTTAAAATCTTTTCTTTTTGTCACAGTATTTTCTCTTATAAAATTTAAATTTTTGTTTAAACATATGAACTAGACGGGCCAAAAATTTGTTGTGCTTTAAAATCGAGATCATAATTAAGGTTGTAGTTAGAGTTAGATTGTGGCTTGAGTTGAGGTCTAGATCAAAGTCGATCGACCCCAATCACCTTAGTCCCACACGGACTCACGTGGATTCTACAAATGAGGTCCACCACTATGTGAGAGGCTTAGAATTCGACACTATCGGTTTGAATCCTATTTTCCAATCACAAAACATTCAAGGAATACAAGTGTAAAAAGCCCCTCTTCTAACTCTAAACATCATTGTCTGCCTCAGCCTTGTTCAGATTGTTTTTCTGTTGAGAGGGACATGAACATCCATTAACAACAGTTCCTCTATGTTTGCTTCAATTAACTATTCATGGTCCAACACTTCCATTCTCCTAGGATCAAGCTCGAACTTTAAATATGTACACTACCACGTTAGGACTTTTTCATAGCTAAAAACTCATTTACACGCAAAGCATGACAGACCCGCATGCGTGTATGGTAGTCATACACAGTAGAAATACCGTATTGATGCATGTTTTTACTCTTTAGATCTAATTAAAATCACGTCAAATGATAACAAATATATATATATATATATATATACACATACGTGCAAACAGATATATTTAATACAATTCAACGGTTCAAAACAAAACCCCGCAAGTAAGATATTTGCGCATAACTACCATAGAATTATCGTATAAATATACACGTGTATTGGGAGAACAATAGCTCTGTTAATGTTGTTTGGACCAACTTTTTAACTTGCAGCGATTCACTAGCAAAGTGTGGCATTTGATATGGGAAAACCACGCTTTCAGACCGCAGTGACTGAAAGATTGATCAACCTGAGGTACGTTCGTTTCACCATATAAAGAGTACTTCTTTGACAGAGATTCCATAGAACATTGCACTTGCCTCCAAAAATTGTACACATAAGTGAGACTCCATTATAACTGAATATACACCGAGTCCTTGTGGGATCTCGTCACGTGGATTATACAACAAAACAATCACAACGTTACAAGTACAAAAAATAATGGGCACAATGACGAGCAAAAAGATAGCATTCTGAAAACCAAACACGGCTTGACCAAAGAAGGGAAAACTCTTTGACAAATAATACTCCTTTCTCTCTCTCTTTTCCTCTATTATTCGACCAGCTAAAAAGAACACCTTAAGATTATTATTTACTCTTGAAAAATAGATTTGTCGATATCCCTACAGAGGAAGGCTTGAATCCACGGATGAACTTGTGCGACGGGGCCATCCGGGGATCCTCTCTGCTAGTTTTCTTCCTTGAAGAGGCCCCCCCAGCAGCCCCCATGCTCTTGACAGATACTGATGACCTCGAATTGAACACTGCCGAGCCAAAAGAAGCATCGGCTGGGCCGAAGGACAAAGGGAATTTGTTCGATGTTTCTTGTGGGTGTCCAACTGCTCCATCCTGATGGGGAGGCGGGAATTTCTCACTCTTGCTCTTTGTGTTTGTTTGTGTCACAACTCTCCACCTCTGAGAATCATATAACATACGAGGATTTAGTAGAAAATTGTTAAGAGAAGCGGATGAATAGTTTATAGTAGGAATTATGATTCCAGGCATATCAAGTATTACAAGCTTGTCAACAATCATAATCAATCTTGATATAACGAATAGGTAGCATGTCAAAGCTCACAACTATTGACCCTTGCATACGAGGGATTCGGAGTTCAAACTTCACAGCTCCACTAAAGCGTAAATGACATGCAAGTGAGCAACTCAGGGCAGAATTCTGAGATGGTTTCAGGTGTTCTAACTTCGACAAAAAGGAAAACGAAAAAATCACATAAGATTCAAGAGAGAGAGAGAGCGAGAAGAATATTTCACATACATCTAAGTTTGCTTGAATCTCTGCATTGGCTTCTGGGGCTGGAATTGCCCGACCAACACGATCACGAGCCTTAACTTTTTTGGCACCATCAACAACACTAGATTTCCCGGTTAGACCTCTTTGCCTGAGGAGCAAAATAGATATTAGCTGTTAACACAAAGCCACGATGAGTCCAGAAGATGGTAAAACACCAAGAAAGCGAAACTCTAACCTTCTAGCTTCTTCTTCACGTAATTTTACATCCAGTTCTTTGCTGGGAGGATATTTAGGTAAACTTGATGGCTCACAAGGATAAGGTTCAGTGGTAAAGAACTGCACCCACATAAAAGAATACACGTTACATGAGCTAAATAGAGTCAGCTTTGATCCATAGAAAATTCAAGTGCATACGTTGAATCAAAATTGCTAGTTTCATATTTGTTAAAAGAAGTTCCTTGAAGAAAGGACACTCACTTCACTTTCTAGAGCAGCAGTTGCAGTGCCTCGTCCATCAGCGTCTATTGAAAGAAGAGATTCAATTAGAGGTAGCGAATGAAGAGGAAAATCTTTGAATGTTTCTGCTACACACCGCTTGTATGGTTGTTGTGGCTTAAAAAGTGTTGCATTTGGCAATCTATATTTCTTCCAGTATTCCTCAGATGGGGAGCCACATAACTTAAATATCTTGTGCAGTTGTTCAACCTTAACAGGAACAGAATGTAGGGAGGGGTTTGTCAAGCTCAAAACTTTACATTTTAGCAGCAAAAATACAATAACAACAACAAATACAAGCCTTAATCCCAAATGAATTGGGGTCGGCTATATGAATTTCTCGTTTCCAATCTGTTCTATTAAACACAAGACCCTCCTGAAGCCCTAGATCTTGAAATTCGTGCCTGGCCCAAGTAATTCTTGGTCTACCCCTCGCTCTCCTAGTACTAGGTATTTGGATGTTCTCCCAAGCCCGAACAAGTGCATCTAACTATCTACGTTGTACATGCACGTATCACCTCATACGGTTTTCCCGCACCTTATCTTCTATTGGTGCTACACCTACTTTACTACGAATAACTTCAGTCCATATGCGATCCATCCTCGTATGGCCACTCATCCATCTTAACATACGCATCTCCGCCACACTCATCTTGTATATTTGTTGTCTCTTGATGGCCCAACATTCACTACCATATAACATAACTGGGCGAATTGTTGTCCTATAAAATTTTCCTTTCAACTTAACAAGCATCTTATCATCACATAAAACTCCCGTGGCATTCTTCCACTTAACCCACCCCGCGCCAAGGCAGGGTGGGTTAAGTGGAAGAATGTCACGGGAGTTTTAGCAACAAAAATAATTAAAAAAAATTAAAATTAAAAATAAAATTAATAAATTAATAAAAATTAAAAATTAAAAACAAAAACCAATACCTGTATACCATCACCAAAAGGGGGAAAATGACAAGCAGAAGAGACCAAATCCGAACAAGTACTACTATCTCATCTCACAAAGAATAATGATTGCACAGGAAATTCATTGTTTTTTACTAACGCACATTACTAAGAAGACAAAATACCTCAACCACAACATATTTAAATGGTTAAGCTTGTTTCATTAATACTTCCAACAAACACACTTTTGAGTTGATCCCATGAAGCATTAACCCTTGCCGTTTCAATAAAAAAAATAAAAATAAAAAAAAGGCGCAAACTTTCGATCAACCAGATTACATTGCTTCATGGTCTGGTGATGGAGGTGCCAAAGATGAAATGGATCACATGCATCATAAAACTGTTGCATTAACACTGTAGAATCTTACATCCTTATTCATGAATCACAAATAAGTGATAAACCAGAGTATATGTTCCTTTAAATGACTAAAACAGACAAATATATAAAACAAAATAAAAGATAATACCTCCGTCCGTCCCGGCATAATTGGCTTCCCAGCAAGTAACTCTGCCAAGATACAGCCGGCACTCCAAAGATCAACACCAACACCATAGATTGTGGCCCCAAGAAGAAGTTCAGGGGGGCGGTACCAAAGGGTGACGACACGACTAGTCATGGGTTGCTTGTGGTTAGGATCATAAAAAGTAGCCAGCCCAAAATCAGCTATTTTTAAGATCCCTTCATTGTTAAGGAGCAGATTGGAACCCTTGATATCCCGGTGCAAAACTCCATTGTTGTGGCAATGCTCGAGCCCCGACAGCAACTGCTTTATATAACATTTGATCTGACATATAGCAAGACATAAGTTACCTCCTAAATGTCCTATTATCTATGATAATAATCAGGGGACCATATAACCTGTGTTACCAAATAATGGAGCTCAAAATTGAAAAAACGTCTTTTCCTCCCCACAACTTAAATTACTTTCCTTTTCCACAGTTTAGAGATTAATGGGAACGCGAAATTTCTATGAATTTGCATTGCCGAAAAGAACCTAACAAAGATTTGAAGTATTTCGAAACTACTGGTTTATGGGGCCCAATCATCAATGTAGCTTAGGAAGGTCTTTTAGTTACATCAAAGCTAGCAAAAAGCAAAAGGACAAACACAAAGACATTATCTGTTCCAGAACCTAATCAGGAAAACCAAAAGTGATTAGGAATAAAACAAAACCTAAGAAAATCACACACTAAAATCCAACTCATATGCCAAAACTCCATCTGCGAATTGAAAAACAATCTACATTAACAAGTACACAAAAATTTCAAAACTTTTCTGAAAGAATCAAAGTTGAAATGTACCTGAGCTTCAGTGAATTTGACACCAGAGCGAGCGGCGAGGCCGGCGAGATCGTGTTCCATGTACTCGAAAACCAAGTAAAGACTGCAAGACATTCTTGAGGTGGCTAAGCCTTCGAGCTTAAGCACATTGGGATGATCAAGCTTTCTCAGAACTAGAATCTCTCTCGCCATGAATTTCACACTCTCTGGCTCCAGATTATCAAATCTAACCTTCTTTAAAGCCACTATTTTGCCGTTAATCAGATCCCTAGCTTTATACACATTGCTATAAGTCCCTTGCCCAATCTGAAGAAGAACGAAAACAAATGAAAAGATAAGAAATTTAACACACAAAAATTGAAGATGAACACAAGAGTTAGGGTTTCCGATCAACCAACCTTCGCGAGCCTCTCGAAGCTGTTGGCGCGACGAGGAGTCCAGCCTTGGATCGCGTCGCCGGCGGCGGCTAAAAGCCACGGAGGCCAACCTTGCTGCTGGTTAGCCAGGAACGAATCCGGCAGCCTAGGTTTCCGGTGCTCAGTCGCCAGAACATCGCCGGTTCTCCTGGTCCTCTGCCGCTCGGTGGCGTCCTTCCTGACTCTGACCTCGACGGCGTTGGCGGCCGAGGGAGGCGGCTCCTCGACCTTTCCACGGCGGCGCCTGGATCGCCGGCGACCGCCTCCGGATTCGGTGCCGAGAACGCAGCCCATCGGTCACCTCTCCGGCCTCGCAGAGCGCCGGCAATGCATCCGAGCGGTGCTCCGGCGATGGAAAAACCGCTACTGGAACTCGCTTGTCCTTCAGGTCGATGAAATCAACACAAAACGCCGTCGTATCGGAAACAGTAACTAAAACCGCAAGAAAAGGTGGCGATTTTCACCGGCGAGTGTACAAGAGCGTGGAATCGGAGCTGAAGTTGGCGTCTTCTTCACTGAGCTAAGTAAGAGAGAGAGAGAGAGAGAGAGAGAGAGAGAGTTATTTTATTGCCTTACTTATACTTGTCTGTTGTTTTCAAAGTTGAGACACGATTTGAGGATATAATTACGGAAATGCCACCACATAAAAGACCGCGGGAAATAAATATATTAAAATTAAAAATTAAAAATTAGAAGATGATGACGTCGTAATGAAAAGGGTTCGTCTGAACAATGTCAAACCAAAAGAGATACTTTTTGACGCAAACCGTTTTAAAAGTCCCGTGGCTTTTTTTTTTTTTTTTTTTTTTTTCGATTTTATGTCCAAACCACGTACATTTACTAATCAAACGTGCCATAAAATCCAAAGCTTCTTGCCCTCTAATATTCCCACCAAAAATATGTAGCAAACTTTAGCCTTTTCTGATGTAGTATTTATATGGGTATAACTGTTTAGGAGATTTCTTCAGCAGGGTTTTGAAAAATAAATATCTATATCTTTCAGTCATCATCAGATCTATTTGTACAGTATATTTTTCTATTATAATGTAATATTAATCAAATATAACGATCATAAACGTGCACTACTGATATATTACTTAAAATTTAGGGTGAACATAATTTTTTTTAGATGAATAAGTACATCATACATGTTCTAAATATATTCTTTTTTACAAGAAATATATTCTAGATATAGTACTTTCTCAAAGTGGCAAATATCTCTAATATCTAAGCTACTAAATTACTAATAAGCATAATCATATATTACGGGCGCGTTTAATTTGCTAATTTGAGTTTTAAGAGTCTGTTTAGTTGGAGGATTCGTTATCTGATTCGAATCATGGTTCATAGTTCGCTACAGTATTTTTCCTTACAAAAAACACGTGTAAATCGAAAATGATTCTAATCTCGTAGTTTTAATCTATGAACCAAACGAGCTCTAATTCGAGTTGAAATGTGATTTTATATGATAATTTTTTACTGTAGTAAAAAAATTAAATGTGACTATTTTTTAAATCTTTTTATTATAACAAAACTTAAATTTTAAAACTGAATCAGTAAAATGAACAGAATTTACAAAATGTACGTGTGCCAAGTTTTAAAAAAAAAAAAAAATTACCCAGTTGTCACATTGATCCACCCAATAATTTTTTTCGTTTTTTTCCTTTTTTGCATGTGGAATGGAAACAAGATGGGCGGATAAATTTATTAGGCAAAAAGAAGTTAATTTTTCTTGCAATATTTTTTTTTAGAAATAAAATAATGAAAGTTATTGTAACTACCACACCAAGGCGTATTAAAAAAGGACATGACGATGGTATGCATTTATTACTGAAACAGATATAAGATTCATAGAGACTAGAGGGAGAGGCTTGCAGTTATAGTCAAACTATAAATGGGAACGAAATTTGTTCTTTTGCTGAAATGGGTAGAAAATTTCTCAGCTAGATTCTTAATTCCTCTCACCAACCTTTACTATCCAACCATTGTCGTTTAGCATCAGAAGTAAAGAAAAATAATTTATAAAAAAAAAACTTGTGCAGAAATTGTCGCTTAAAAATTATTTTCCCAGTCAGAGTGAGTACGTCAGTCTATTTTACTAATTTAAGTTTAAATTTTAAATTTTATTATAGTAAAAAAATTTTATAAATAATTACGTTTAATTTTTTTATTATAATACAAAATTCTCACATATAAATTTAAATTAGCGAACTAAACGGACAATTCTTTTTTGATGCAAGTGGCATTCCAGATTTTCAAGCAAAAAAAAAAAGTGACATTTCAGGTTCCTCTCTTATTAATTGCAAAACAAAGCAACAAGAAATGAGGGTCCTTTGAAATAAGAGTGCACTTTAGCTAATTATTTTTTGGCAAAATTCACAGCAGGACATGCATTTTTCTTCATTAACAGAAACTGTATTTTAAACTATTGGATTTTTTTTTTCAACAATCAAATCTAAAATAGGAACATTTTGTGTTGTGGCTATAAATTTTTAATGTAAATATGCACATATTTAATTGTCAATTAAAATAACAGTTCTTAATAGTAAAACTGCATATCCTACTATAAATATTCTCTCTTATCTATTGCCCCATTTTGTTCCTAAATATTGCCTCATGATAAAAAAAAACAAAATTTCCCCATGATAACTATATACAAACGGGTAGAAAACAAATGACATGATCTGCTACAGAAATATAATGATGGAGATTGGTAGATAAATTCATCATTTAGGATCCCATAATGCCCTGTTAAGTCAAATTTTGTTGAGAGCCAAAAAAATCTATTCACAAAAACTAAAACAAAATAGTAATTCATAATTGTAAACTTAACCTAACGATTGTTTCATGATCACCTTAACATTTAAGACTTAAATTCAAAATAATCACACGGTGCTAACATGTATGCCTCTACATTACAACTTTAATGGCATTTCAAGGCTTTTTTAGATTATTTTAATAAGCAAAAAAAATAATTAAAAATTATAAAGTCCTCACAAAATAGAAATGAAAAGAACGGAAAAAAAAAAAGAAAAGAAAAAAAAAGAAACAACATAACAAAACCAAACAAAAAGAAAAATAAAATTGAAAGAAAACATAAAATCCCTTCTCACTACAATCTCTATAATATACGGTTGTTTCTCTACAAAGTTTAAGGAGATGTTTAGTTCATGAATTAGAATCATGAGATTAAAATTATTTTTTATTTACGTGTATTTTTTATTAGAGAAAATACTATAACGAATCATGAACCATGATTCAAATCATAATTTGAATCCTTTAACCAAACGTCCCTCAAGTTCTTTATAAAGTCATTGTTCAACTTTTTCCTCAATTGGTTAAAGCTTTGTCAAATTTTCCGATAACTTTTTTCTTGCTGGTAAAAACAAAAAATAAAAAATCATCGGTCATGTCTACATAACGAATCAACTGGTGCCAACGTCTACATAAGAAATCAACTGGTCCCATAATGGTAAAAGGTCTAAACCTATTCTTCATCTATTCACAACGCAGGTTTTACTTATCCACCATTAACTCCTTATATCCACCATAAATGAGTATCGAGTAATCTTAATAAATACTTTTAAAAATATATAAGTCGAGATTTTTATCTTTTTTTCTTGATTCAAAATTTTTTTAGTGAAATAATTACACTAATAAAATAATATTTATCAAAAGTGATGCATAAAAGCTTAAACTCATGTACTTTTAAAGATAAATTCTCTATTTTTACCATTTAACTCTTAATTCATAACTTTTTTCGTGGAATTCTTTTTTATAACGACATAATAATTTAAATATTAAACTGTGAATGAGAGAGACTTAAAAGAGGCGCCCTTGCACCACTCCAGTGGTAAATTGTCCTAAGAACTCGAAGCTACAAATTTCATCTATTTTTTGAGCAAATGTCCAAACTTCAAAAAGAGTTATATTGTCATTGTCCTGTTCTTTTCGCTGATTCAAGTTTTGCTACAGTGAAAAGCTCTTATAAACAGTTATATTTAACTTTTTTACTACAGTAAAAAACTCTCACACAACATCATATCTCAACTCGAATTTATTATCCATAATTTTATTTGCCTAGTAGAAACGAACTTTATTAAGCAAGCTCATGATTGAGTCACAGGTTTATCCATCTAATTCATTGTTGCTGAATATTTAGAAACAGTAATAATACTAGGGTAAAGTCTCGAGTATGGCAGCCGTATAAGTTCGAAAAATGTATTTCTTTTTGTATTCTAGTGTAACACTGCTCTGAAATTCATACCATATTTAATGTGTTAAAAGTGTAATACTCAATGTTACATGTGTTGGATTATCTTTTTTTTTTTAATATTATACGTTAACAGCCATGTGTCATACATATAAAAAAAAAACTATATTACACACTACTATTAAAAAAAAAAATTACGTTTGCTGGAATGAGTTGGCTGTCGTACTTCTAACATTAGTACTAGAAAGGCCTGTTTTTATTAAGTAATGTTTTTGTAATTTTCTCGAGAAAATATGAAGTAATGGTCTTTAATCACTAGAATATATTGATTAATAAATATGAAACAGTGGTCACAAGAAATTCAGGCATTGTGCTTCTGTCATCATAGCGTTTTGCGACTTCGTCAAACAGTCTCCTCTCTCGTGAGAGGATAAATGGAGATTTTAATGGAGTTGTCAATTGAAAAATCAATGGTCAACCTATTAGAATTTCAAAAGTAGTTTTTTTTTTCCCCATAACTGTGCAATGATCTGTCGTGTTGTCTATTAGAATATTCAGATATAAGACATCAAATATCAAGCACATTAAAAGAGTAACACTAATGATCATAATATCAAGATTAATTAAGTGTAGGAATTAGATTAGGTGTTGTGATGTCTCCTATTTGATTTTGTTAATAGTTACAACAAAATGCTAAATATCAAGAATAATTATGACCGTGTTTGGAATTGATCTCATTTTTATTTTTCACGTTTTTTAAGAACAAAAAAATGAAAATATTTTTAAAACGGCGTTTGGCGCAACAAAGACAAAAAATTGAAATGAAACCAATTTTTTAGTTTAGTATAAAATAAGAGAGAAATGAAAAATGATTTTTCGTTTTTCATTTTTTTATTTTTGTTTTCTCCCCTCTCTCGAGCAGAGAGAGGGAAAGATTAATGGGTTTTTTATACTGAAAATAATCTCTTAATAAAACTACCAAACATATTTTTAAAAATAAATTTTGTCTAATATTAAAAATATTTTAATTTTCATATAAAAAATAAAATTATTTTAGAACGAGTTCCAAACGCGCCATATTGTCCAAATAAATGGCACAAGACATCAAAACGTTATTCAAAATACAATTTCCACGCGTAATGCTTGCTTGCTTCTCTGAAGTGGTTGATTGAAAAATTCTTCAAGTAAAAATGCGGGTCTCTTTCTTGGTTTCTACTTCAAGTATCATAATTTTCAAATCCGAGTTTTCTAACCCATTACTTAAAGACATTGAAAAGTGGAGGTCTCAACTAAACTAAGTTGATCGTGACACCTTCAAACTTCAAAGGTCTAAGGTCATTGATCTAATTATGGACTCTCTAGAAAGGTTTATATATGTACATGTATAAATTTTGCGTGTCTGTAAAACACATTTTTAAACTGTCAAAATCACCTCTAAGAGTGAAAAATATATGAGAATTTTGACTAAATTTAGTGAAAATATAGAGGTTAAAACTGATGTCTTTCTTCGACGGACTATGTATAGCACTATTAAAAATAATATTGAGTTATGTAAAACAGAAAATAGTTCTTAACCATAAAATCTTGGTCATGTTCTATGTATTTATTTAATTTAACATGAAAATAATAGAATCTGACTGTTCAAATTTTTTTTTTATTTTTTATAATAAAGCCCACAGTTTGGGACTTATTTCATAATTGTTGAGCAAAACAAAGAATAATGCAAGCAAGGCACCCAATGAATATTTTTTTTCCCATGAAAAGCAAACGACGATTTGGGTCTAAGGCCGTACTTTGTTGACAAATAAAACCAATAATATAAAGCTATAAAAATGGACGGAGATGGACTTGCATGAAATTTAAGGGAGAAATAGAAAAATAAGTCAAAGACAAGATGAATTAAAATTAATAGGTTAATAGTTTACATAAGTTAATAAATATGTTAAATTATTATTTTCGTCTATAATTTGTCTGGTTATAAACCATAACTTGAGAAGTTATTATCCATAAATCACAATTTTTGCCCATAACTTATCTGGCTATAAATTATAACTTGACAAATTTATCTATAAATGATTTGATTATGAACCATAACTTGACAAGTTATGACCTATTAATTTTTATAACTAAAAGTTGACCTATATACTTTTTTAAATTTTTTATATTGACCTATTTTTTACTATTTTTGTAAATTTAACTATAAGAATCATTCAAGCTCAAAAAATGCAAAATCAACTATAACAAGAGAGTTTGATTACTATTATGGTTTTTTTTTTTTTTTTTTTTTTTTAAAACCTTTTTTTTTTTTTTTTTTTTTTTTTTGTGGTGGAATGACAAACCCCAAAAGTGCTTGGTCAATAAAGAAAAAGAGAGAAAAAAAAAACTTTGGGTGTGAAAGCGTTGAAATTTGCTAAACTCATCACTGTTGTTGTTGTTTTTTTATAATAACTTATCACTGTTGTTCTTTGTACTGTCCAATGCTCTTTAATTTTGTCTGCGTAGCTTTTGAGGCCTGAAAAGCACTTTTTCAGAAGCGAAAAAAAAAAGTAAAAAAAAAAGGAATTTTATTGGTGTTCTTTTCATTTTTAAAATTAGGTCAATTCATAAATTTAAAATTATTATTTTTATATATATTTTTTATAAGAAAAAATATTATAATATAAAGATTTGATTTGTACTTATTTTATGTGTATTTTTTATATTAATTTTTATTAGATTTAGTATAGATATGACGGTTGATAAATAAATAATATTAATATTTTTAAAAAGAAAAAAATACTAAAAAAAAACTCCTTAAAATTTTGTTTTTGAGATGTTTAGTATGAAGATTTATGTTATGGTTTGAATCATAATTCGTAATTTAATTTAATATTTTTTTTAAAAAAATACACATAAATTAAAAATAATTATGAATCATGATTCTGTATTTACGAACTAAACGTCTATTGCATTTCAGTTTTTGGGACTAATTCCTGGAGGCACTTGTGTACTTGTGTAACACGGTTAGAAACTGATGAAAAGACATGTTCTAAAGAGGAAAGTAAGTATGATCTAAAAGCTTCTCTCCCAAAATCTGGAATTCAATGCTTTTCTTTCGACACTTTGTTTACCTTTCAAATACGCATAAAAAGTGCATAAAAAGTTCTGTTAAGATGGAAGAAGATAATATGGAAAAGTAGTATCCTCGAAAGAGCTTCACTTTTCCACATGGGCTTCAGTCATACTCATATTGGAAGGGATAATTTTGAAAAATATAATTTGAAAATGCATACGTTAATATTTTTATTTTGTATTTATAATTTTTTTAATTAAATAATTACACAAATAAAATAATATTTATTAAAAATAAAAAATTTAAATTTAAATTTATACACTTTTAAAAATAAATTCTCTATTTCTTTTATTAGAAAAGGGGAAAAATCGCATGAAGTAGCCCAATCCATTGAAGCTTTTTACGTACTTGGAGTACTATTAGTTCCAAAGCTGTTGTACTCTCACTCTTGAAAATGTGATTCGAAGGTAAAAAATGTAAAAAAATCTTCAAGTAATGATTGGACAACACTATATAGCACCGGGTTATGCTAAGCACTACTACTTATTAATAGAAAGTTTATGAGTTGCATTTTTTTATTAATAGTGGATTAATGGTGATGCTGTTTTAATAAAAAGTATATTCTCCTACATGGGATTCATTTTTTATTAATATTAGTGCCTCACGCATTATTTTTCTGAATGATAATGTAAAGAGTTGATATAAGTATGATTTGGTGGCATCGACTCTTAGCCACAAGCAACAAGAACAAATAAAGCCTTCCCTGGAGAGTAAAAAGTGAACCACATACTGATACGTCAACTTGTCGATCTGGCATTGGCTGCACTGCAGTTTTGTGGATAGGAGTTGGATGTCGTTTTTCTCTTACAATTATTGCTCAAATCACAAAACGCACCCCCATTTTCTTCTTTCTTGTTCTTGTTGGAAGTTATTCATTCTTCCATGCTCAGAGCCACAGAGCGTGAGAAGTGTGCGATTGAAGAAATGGGACTTCTCTGCTGTGACCCGGAAGATGCATTCCTGTTGGGACTGGTTATGTCTTTGGTCTTTGCAATGGCTTTCTTCATCTTATGTCAACCTCCTCAAAAAAGAGTTGCTATCTGCCGTTGTTCTTAGTTTTCATTAATGTATGCAATATGGACTATCTTGTAAAGGTTTCTATGGATGTTCGTCAACTTCTACTTCTATTGTGATGTATTTATCTGAAGTAAGAATAAAATGGAGTTGAATCAAATATTATTATTATTTTCATTTATTCTTCTCTGCGTCTTTACTTCTTTGTGCATAGTTATTTCCCTTTTCTACTTTTCACCCTTGGATCTGGCTAATCAAAACTCCTGTTATTCAGTAAAACCATATAGTCCACTTGTTATGTTAAAACTCTGGATTACCTGTTATATCTTTTACAAGGCAAATGGCCAGTTGATTCAACACCTAACAGAATGACAATTTCTTGCCTGAATTAAATGCATAGTCCGTTGTCAGAACTGATGTTCAACCAAGGGCCCATTTTGGCTTAGAAAATAATAAAAGAGATTTGACACAAATGAAATTTGCAATTCTCAACACTGTAATGCAATTAATATTTGACAATCCCTCCTTGTGCCGGAGCTCCAAAAGTAACTTGCCCATTAGGTGAAAGTTTGATGGATGTAGCTACATCAGATAAATATAAACAACACAAAACAGACAAGTTAAATATGAAAAACTTATATATATATTATATATATATATATATATATTATATATTTGATAACATAACCCTTTGTTAGTACAGTCCCCAACCTCTTACGCTGCAAAACAAGATTAAATCTGCTATCAGCTGTTTCAAACTCTTAACCGGAGCAAAGCTTCTCAAGAGCCAAGTTCTCATCACCACCAACAGATTCCAAAGTAGTCCTCGCCTGCGCTTCAGGGAAGCCCATCTCTACAAGTTTTTGCACCTGTACAATCAAAACAGTTCTCTTACATATAAGCAAAGTTGTGAATGTATACATCTTGGATTTGGTGAATAATTTTCTTTATAAATATGCAGAATTAGTTAACGAATATTTTCTAAGCAAAGTTTACTTAGAAAGAAATTATTCAACTTACCTTCTCTTCAATCCCACGCGACGATGTCTTGGCAAAGGTTTCTGTCCAGTACCGAGCAGTGCTGATAAAGGTCTGATAGTCTTTAAGATACTGAAATGGCACCATAAAAGGTAACAAGTAAGATCTATAGAAGACATATTAAAAGACATTAAAGCAAAACTGAATGCAGCTTAGTAAGGACTTGATCATCTTTATGAACTAACAGAAGCACAAGTGATAGGAAAAGATAACGTATGACTAAAGGCGTAACTGTAGTGTAAAGAATAGCAGTAAGTAAGACCTGTTTTGCCACCACAGCATCTTGAGGATCATCAGGTTCTGGAGCAGAAAGCAATGCTTGTACAGAAAGAAGAGCTGTTTTCAAAGTGAGAGCCGGGCTCCACTGATCCTTCAAGATATCAAGGCAAATAGCTCCACTTTGACTGCTGATATTAGGATGCCTTCAACAATGAATACAAATCAAAGCATTAGCATCTTTAAAACAAACCGATTACATGAACTGAATACATAACCTGCAACAAATCAACGGCACTTGAAAGTCATACCGTTTAGCATCCTAGAATAATCAGCTGAATCATTGAACTAAAATCCGCTCAAAGTCGTGATAACCCAACATGAAAAGTTCATTTATTGTGGACCATTATAAATCGTTAGCAGAACATATTAGCACACATTAGCATGGAACAGAGCTCCAGCTTCATTATGACCAATTGAGGAATTCTTAGTTAAACAAAACAGGGTTAATTCAATTTATATGTAGTTTTACGTCTGCTTTGCTTGTTCATATAGCAAGTACCAGCAACATGTACCATTAGATAACTTTCACCTTGTATTAAATATATATATATATATATGTGTGTGTGTGTGTGTGTGTGTGTGTGTATAATTCTTTCAATTTTTTGTCATAATGGCAGTGGGATGACTTGATTCAAATGCGTATCTTAAGGCCCCGTTCATTTCACCGATTCAAGTTTAGAGTTCGATTTTTACTACAGTAAAAAGCTCTTAAAAACAGTCACATCTAACTTTTTTGTTACAGTAAAAGCTCTTACATAAAGTCACATCTAAATTCAAATTAAAAACTTGAATTAGCGAACTAAACGGACCCTAAATATCATCCAGTCATACTCAATGCAACGCCAGTATATAACAGACCATGAATGATATCATTCTTTACAAAATTCCCTAAGCTAGACATAATACATAGACAATAAATCAACAAAACCATTCATCAAAAAAACAAAAAAAAAAGAAGTGAATAAATCAGCAGAACCAGCAGAAATGAGAGAGAAGGAAAAAAAATGCAAATTATTTTCTTTTACCAAACTTTAGTCGAAAACTGCATTTTGGGAGGCTCAAAAGGATACCCATCTGCAAGAACAAACCCATAATCAATGTATGTATGTATCTATGAATAAATATATAATCTAGCAAAAAAGAAAATTAGTTATTATTAACAAACACTAATTCACAAAAAGAAAGCAGTTGTTCTATTAACTACAGTGTTCCCACTTACGAACACCTAAATCAATCAATTTTATCTAATCATGTCGCACTAGGGGGGAAAAAAGGATTTCTTTACCAAAATTTAACACATTTCAATCCTATTGAGCCCTAGAAGGATCAAATTACGTTACTGTTTTCGTTTTACGCCAAATTAATCACAATATCTCGCCGAAAACCTCGATTAACAAACCAAAATCCAAAGTTTTGCAACAAAAACACGAAAAATTTTAATATATCTGGTCAAATTAATCCGAAAATGGAAAGGAAAAACGGAAAATTTGGACGAACCCGGTAAGGTGATATCGATCTGGAAGACGCCGCCTTCGTAGGGGGTTCCGATAGGGCCGGGAATGGTTCCGACGAGGCGAGCGAGAGTGGCGTCGGACTTGGGGGCGACTCTGATGCCGGAGCCCTCCACGTCCTTGCCGCATTCTTGAAGCTCCTTCTGAACTCGAGCGAAGTCTATCATCTTCTTCTTCTTCGGATTATTCGATTTGCAGAAGTGGAAAGAGGAAGAGGAAAACCGATTGTTAATGTTACGAAATATGTGTGTATATAGAGGAATACATGTGTGAGAGAGAGAGAGTGTGTATATATATATAGAGAGAGAGAGAAAGAGAGAGAGAGAGGAAAGATCTCTTAACTCTACTCAACTATTTTACTCTCTCTCTCTTTACAATTGATGCTTTACTTTGAGAGAGAGAGAGAGAGAGTGTGTATATATATAGAGAGAGTGTGTATATAGAGAGAGAGAGAGGAAAGATCTCTTAACTCTACTCAACTATTTACTCTCTCTCTATACAATTGATGCTTTACTTTGAGAGAGGGGGAAAATTTCTAGTGATGATAAATTAATGTTTTTTTTTTTTTAAAATTAGTGTGATACTAAGAAGACGTTTGGTTGATGGATTTTGAATTATGATTCAGAATTATTCTTAATTTATGTGTGTTTTTTGTGAGAGAAAATACTATAACGAGTCACGAATCATGATTAAACCATGACACGAATCCTTGAACCAAACGCACTCTAATTATCAGTTTGTTTTTCTTAAATGATCAATTACAGTTAAATGATATTTTGATAATTTTTCAAATGATTAATTAGTTTAGGTTAATTTTGACAAATATCTCTTAAAATTATATCATTAAGGATTTTTAGGTCTCAACATTAACTTATTAAATTTTATCTCTTATAGTAAATAATTTGATAGATTATTATTGATAATTTGACAGATGTCGCCGGCGACGAGCTTAATTTAATAAATTATTGTCTAAAATTTAACAAATTATTATTTATAATTTAACATATTATTATTAAAGAGATAACCTATCACAATAAAAGAATAAAACTCCAAAAGAATGTGTTTATAATCAGTTTTTGCAATTTTCTCATTACATTATGTGGTACGAATTATCAGTTTGTTTTTTCTAAATGATATTTTTGTACATGTTATTAAAATACAAATGACTACTTGGTCAAAACTCAAACAATATTACTATTCTCTAAAGAATGCATACATATTGAATTTAGAACTATAACCTTCATACATACATTCCAATTAATTACACAAATATATTACCCAGTTTTATTTTTTTTCTCTCAAATTATCTCTTTTTAGTCTTTTCTTAGAATGTATAAAATTTTATAACTTTTGTATTTTTTTTGACAAAAATATAAGATTGAAAAAGACAAAAAAAAACCCGATAATAGTTTCTAAAAGAAAAGGGCATCCGTTGTAAAATAGAAAATAAAGGTTAAAAAAAGCATTAAAGAGAAATACCAAAACATCATTGACTTAATTTGGATCTTATAATATTTTACAACAGTGTTCTTCATAGTGTTCTTATAATCGTTTAATTTTTTTTATAATTTTTGTTTATGTTTGTGTTGTAATAACGATGATAGTTTTTCTATCTATTGTTGTTTTGTCTCAGTTAGATGGTGATTTTTCTATCAATCTATGTTTGTGGTGTGTCTCTCAGATAGAAGGTGGTTTTCCCACCGCTTTAATACTAAGTTGTGTGATATGGGTCTATTATTAGACTAGGATGTGGCTCAACTTGAGTCGTTTCTACGTGACCGAACTTTATTCTTGTGCTACTTTGTAAAGGAGTCATCTCCGTTTTTGTGATAAGGTTGCGTTTGTATTGTTTAGTCATGTGAGCAGTACCCATTTTTTTACTTTAGTGGTGCCTTGTATCCTAACACTTTAGTGATTAGGGGTAGTAATTCGTGTTAATGGGTCGTGTTCGTGTCAAACCGTTTATTAATCGTGTTAGAAAACATCAACTAAAACATGACCTATTTATTAAACGTGTCAAAAATATTAATCCAAACACGACACATTTATTAATCGTGTCAACTTGTATAACCCGTTTAAATTAATATATTGAATAAATAACTAATATAATAATGACTTATTTAATAAGGCCATGACAGGTTTAACATGTATATTGGTCAATTTATCTTTTCCTTTAAGAAAAATAAATGAATTTTTCCTACAAATATTAAAATTCACATTATTTGTATTTAATATGTTATATAAACTTTCATGTTATATCACATATCATTATATTACAATGACACATATAGTTAATCGTGTCAATTCGCTCACTTCGTGTTAAGAGGTCAACCCTAACCCAACTCATTTATAATTGTGTTAATTGTGTCAACCCGATTATGACCTAAACCCATTTATAATAAACATAAACCCACTAATTTAATTCGAGTTTCGAGACGTATTGTCGTGTCGTTACCTGGATTGCCAGCCCTATTAGTGACTTTTTATTTCATAATGAGAATATTTCATTACTGTTAAAAAAAGGGGTCATTTTACCAAAGATTTGGAAGGAAAAAATAAGTGGAAACTATCTATAACCACCTTATATTTATGCAATGTATTGTTAAAACATTGCTTGAACATGTAAACATGTGTTCACATAAATTACAAATATAACCTAACAAACAAGAAAAAGACGTTCAGCCCATTGTTGACCTTTCAGTTTAATGAATAATTAACCATCCACTATTTTACTCGGCTTTTCCTCCAAATCTTATTCTTCTCATTATGTGAATTAATTTATATGGCATGTAAGTTGTTATTTTTTATTGTTAAATGTAAAGTTCTATTATTAATTTATGTAACAATATTTTAAATACTATCTAATATAAAAATGACAACTCATATACAATATTAATTAATACATAAAATTTAAGATTAGAATTAATATGCTAATATTATTCTTATGTAAATTAGGCTTAATATCACTTAAGAGAACTCTATTCACCCATATCAGTTTTATCACCAAATCTTCTTTCTTGTTACGAACTCCAATTATCACTTATAATTCTAGTTATTGATTCATATCAATTCTACGTGTAACTTGAATTGAAGTTTTTTATACAAATAATATATTCAATACGTACTAATCCTCTACAAATGGTTTTCCTTTAATCAGCCCTCTTTTTAAATGTTGGAGATTCAAATTCTGCATATTTTGAAGGGAAATTAGAGACTTGCAACTTCAAAAGAGTTGGAATTCAAATAAATCACTTTTTCACAATCAATATAAGTGAACAACTAAACTTTACAACGTAATTTACATTATCTTTCAAGTAGGGCTGGTAATTCGTGTTCGCGTATCGTGTTTGGGCCGGCATGACGCGATTATAGTGAACACGAATACGACACGATTAATAAATGTGTCAGAAACTCAAACACAAACATGAAATGCTAATAACACGGTTAACACGACACGACATGCTAACACGATTATTAAACGTGCCGTGACGGGCCGACACGAAAAAAACACGGTTAAGACCCGTTTATGACCCAACTAGCAAAAACAAGAAAATTTTATATTGTATTCAAAACTATATTAATTGACTACTTTAATATCACTTATAGTTAAAATCATACATAATAACCAACACACATTAAAATATCCAAATATCAAACACACACACGCATATATATATATATATATATATATATATAATACTACTACTACTAGATTATCAAGTATATATGACATATGTTTCAAAACATACCAATTACCAAAAAAGAAGTTTGAAAACATAACCAAGTACATTTAAATAAGTTTGAAAATATAACAAAACATTTGAATATTTAAGTGCATAAAACATAAAATAAATATAAGAAAATGTCTTCTTTGAGCCTTGAGGTTAAATGTCCAACTACGCTCTAAAAACTAAAATTAGTTTCAGTTGCTTTAACCTATCCATGGAAAAAGAAAACATTTTATTAATGAAATGAAATTTATAGCTTAGGCATGCCATAAGGAAATTCTTGTTACCTTCCATTGCATTTGAGGTGTTGAGGTTGTGAGAATTTTGAGATGAACCAGTAGTGGGCTCATTGATATCCAAAGTAAAAACATCTTCAGTAATTTCATCCACAGCTTCACGAATCGTTTTGTTATTTTCTACACATAATAGATAACTTATATGGTCAAGACTTAAGATAACATAAGCTAATACAGTAAATAAACAAAAAATTAACAAATATACTTTTATCTCCAATAGTCAATCCTTAGTATACACTAATGCCTCAACTACGACAGGTTTAAGTGAACTCCTATATTGATCCAATACTCGTCCTCTAACACTAAAGGCAGATTGAGATGCTATAGTAGATATTAGGATATCACGAGCCATGTAAGAAAGCTCTGGATAGCGAAACTGATTTTCTTTCTAAAATTCAAGAACGTCCAACTCAACACTCCCTTATACTCTTGGCTCATCCAAATAAACGTCTAACTCTGATTTCTGCATAACAGTTTGCTCTTGACTTTCAAAGTTGTTGAACTCCTACAACCACAAACATATAAAACAAGATGATAAAGACTAATAAAGAACAATTAGTATTCATGAATAAATGTTAAATTAACAAAATCAACATAGTTACCTTCAATACTTTGGTTTGCCTCTGTAAAAACTTTTGTGCTGGGTTTTTAGCATTAGGAGTAGGAAGTGAAGTCACAACATTTATTGTAGAAACCTTGCTCTTAGAGTATTCAGTAAACAACAAGTCTAAATTTCTCTTAACTTCTAAAAATTGAGGTGACCCTTTCATTCCATAAACATTGCCATAAGCATAATCTACAAAATTCAACTTGTAACGAGGATCAAGCACTATCGCAATTGTCAATATCAAACTGAAATCTTTCCAATACTTCTCAAACTTGGTAAGCATTGCTTTTGCCATAGCAGACAAATATGCATCTTCACTTCTCTCAGATTTCATCAAGGACAAATAACTCGTGTACACAGTTGGAAAATACAAGTTTACAGTGGGGTATTTAGCTCCCGAAAAAATACAAGTGATATTATAAAAGGGTTCTAAAAATTCACAAATTTTCTCGGCCTTTTCCCATTCATATGGATCAGGACAGTCCTTGTAATTAGAATCACTCAATTCTAAATGACAAAATGCTCGTCGATAATACAAGACACTGTCAAGCATGAGGAATGTTGAGTTCCATCTTGTAGGTACATCTTGCCTTAAACCTCTCTTAGAATCAAGACCCACAAGATTTACACACTCGAAAAACTTCTTCTTTCTAATTTGTGACCTTCTTACATACTTCACACTCTCACGAATCTTTTTAACCACTGAATCAATATCTTTCAACCCCTCTTGCACTACAAGGTTCAAAACATGTGCACAACAACAAATATGAAAAAAGAATCATCAGAAATAAGTGCATTTTTTTCAATCAACTGATTCTTCAACAGATCAACAGACACATCATTAGCAGAGGCAGTGTCCAAAGTAAGAGTGAAAACCTTGTATTCAATTCCCTACTTACACAATAATGCATAAAGTTTTTCAGACAATGCAATACCAGTATGTGGAGATGGCATGAAGCAAAAATTCAAAATCATCTTTTGCAATACCCAATTTTTATCAATAAAATGGGCAGTTAATGACAAATATCCATCTGTAACTATGGAAGTCTACAAATCAGATGTCAAACAAATTCTACCGGCGCTCAACTCCAACATAGATTTTATTCTTGCTTTTTCCCGAGAAAACATTTTTTAGACATCTACCTTTAAAGTATTTCTAGTTACCAAAGTTATCTCAGGATGCAAATATAGGTAAGTCGCCCTAATAGCTTCATATTCAACAAATGAGAATGGACAGTCATGTAAAATGATTGCTGTTTGATTAACGCCCAAAAGTGATATTCACAAGCGGTCAATTGTAGCACAGAAGGGCGGTCGTATCCACAGAGAGATAACAAAATAACAAGAATGATTAATAGAATAAGAGCGTTAGAGAAAAATGAATTAAAGAAAAATGAGAGTTTTTGAGATTTTTGTTGCAAATAAAATAAAAAGGAGAAAATCTGTAAGAAGAAAACGGTAAGGTGTCGAGAATCCCTAATGCTTCGTTCACCAATTCAAGTTTTGATTCACAATATTAAATAACTAAATAAATTAAATCTGTATGTTGACTCCAGAAATATTATTATTACAAGTTATCTAAAATCGACAATATATCAATCTGACAATATTGCAGTAAAAGACAATTTGTAAAATAATTTGAATAACAAAACATTGCATGACAGAATTACATAAGAAAAGCGTGACTAAACTTATATAAAAA